ACAAAAGTTGAGGCAAACACATACTCACATTGATGTAATATTTAAATACAGAACTCAAACAACATTACACATTAAGTTCAAATATCGAATACACAAAAAACTGCCTGTGTTGATAGCCTCACCTCTTGCTGAGCGAACTATATTTGGTGAAAAACAATTGAAATGTAGCATAAACTCAAATATACGCCTCGTAATATTAAAGAAAAAGATGGCTTAATATTACTAATTACATAATTAACCAGACCTAAGTGTTATTGTGATTTAAAATCTCGTCAAAATATCTTTTGATGTAATAAAACGAGTTTTTCTATTAAATTAACAGTTCTTTCCTTATGTACCTATCTATTTATTTATTTATTAATTTCGTAATATGCAGACTTGTCATTTTATATCTATAACACCTATCTACTGCTTAACATACATTAAATATATCTTTTTGTATATCAAAAAAGATAGGCCTATGACAGTAGTTGAGCATGTTGAAATGTCAAAAATAGCATAAAGTGTCATTTATGTGGTAAAAAATACTCTTTTACGTGACATTGGCGAAATCATGGTTCTCAAAACCAAGTCGTAGCCAAAATAAAAGAAGAAGAAGAAGAAAAAAATACTCAGCGAGTCTTCTTTAGATAATACATAATATTAATTTACTAATATCGCGGCCGTCTGGCTAAAAAAACGTACATTTTAACGTGTTTGAATTAAAATTGCAACATTTAGTTATCAAGTTCATTCATTCATCTCTTTTGCTCATAGCGAGATCCTGGCGTGTGCGACAAGGACAAAATACCATACATTTCTATATCCTCAAAAATGCTCAACTACCGTCAAAAATCAACCTTATACTGGCGCTAATGTTGAATAAATAACGTACAAAATCACATTTACTTCATTACACATAGTAAACTAACAATAATTTGTGATAACTTATTCGAATTGTAACTTATTAATACCAAATCCAACAAACCGCCACAAACTTGCTTTTATAAATACAAAATTAACCTGTACACTCAGTGTCAAATAGTTCGTGACACCCAAAGTGGCCAAAAAGTTGACAACACAACCTTATTCCAATGAGGGCTATCGTTTTTATACTTAACAGTTGGCACCCCTGGCGATTGACAGGACCTTACTCTACAGTGGCGCCATCTTGATGAGTGCAAATACGATAATCCTCCTACCACTTTAGCGCTCACAAGTTGGCGCCACTGTCTTCGCTACTAGCAAGTGACAGGACCTTACTCTACAGTGGCGCTAACTGGTGAGCGCTAAAACGATAGCCCTCATTGTAACAAAGACGTGTTGCGAACTTTTTGGCTACTTTGGGTGTGACGAACTATTTGTTGCTGACTGTACCTGTAAGGACTCTTGCAGATGCGTTTCAAGGTCCTTTATTTCAACATGCTGACACAAAATAAAACTTAGATATTTTTTGACGTAGAACAAACAAAACGCAACTTTGTGGCACCCAACATATTTCTCAGGTCGATTTCACCAGTGTAGGTATGTAAATAATATAAAATCTCTACAATTAATAGGGAATTGGACACTAATTATCGTTTTTAATTAAAATCAGAATAGCAAATGAACGAAAATAGGCCTTTCTAAGGCGAGAGTGAATAGGCAATAGGCACTTACAGGGCAGATATGTCCCCTCCTAGACTGCATCTCACTTAACACCAGGTGCGATTACGGTCAAATACCTGCCTAATTATGCATTGAAAACATTTTCATAAATACATAATTTAAATTGACATTTACATGAGTTCTTTTATTTATTTATGGAATTATTCTTTTAAATAGTCTCCTATTGGTGTTATATTTACCACATTGATAAATTTCGACCCAAAAAAAGCTGCCCCTCTAATACATAAACTTTCTATACATAAAGATTTAACAATAACACCTGACAAGATATATGCTCACTTAGGACTTACTTCAACAATATTATTCAGATTTTGACCCTTAAAAGTTCAAAATTTTAATTGAATTTGCACCTTAAAGACAAACCCATACGGTTCAAAATTGAGTGAGCCAATGCACTCTTAAGGTGACTTTATTTTGAACATACAGTTGTGTCTTTTTGACAGTTATATCATATTTTTTATAGACCTTAAGGCAAATGAATAAGGCTTACAATATGGTGGGAAATACATTCCCACTGCCGTATTAATCCAATATCTATTAAATAATGAAGAAAGCCCTTTACTTTAAATTACCAATCAGAAATAACAACCAAACAATAGTTGACAACGTTTTTTCAAACTAAAAGATATACTCATTCTTTAGGTTCTTCCCAATTAGAATGTAAAACAAACATACAAGCATTTTAACTCATAATAAACTTAATGTGCATTTATATTCAAGTTCTGTTACATAACTTCAGTAATGTATAGTCAGAGTCAAATAGTTCGTAATACCCAGTGGCCAAAAAGTTAAGAACACAACCTTGTAAAGCCGGGTACTCACCTGCCATGTAGCACGTATCGTACCATGTAACGTATCTAACCTTAGAAGTGAGTACGGCTCGTCCACGGTCATCGCGTATCTGGCTGCGAGCTCCTGGATCCTACTGCGAGCCGCCTTTGTGCTCGCAGTGATACCGCCACTCGGCGGGTCGCTATGATCTCCCTGCGAACCACGCGCGAGCAGCGAGCAGCTGACTCGTGCCTATGTACTCTCTTGATACAGTATCTGATACATTACATGCTACACAGCTAAAGCCTGGTCCGTGAGCACGTAGAAACTTGTCCAATGACCCCAAGCTACCCATCCTTATCGCTCGCGCGTATGTTGCTGTCGCGCTCGCACACTCACTGCGGGTGCCCGTCGCACAGTCGCGACAGCAATATAATTACGTGCGAGCGATAAGGATGGGTAGCTTGGGGTCATTGGACAAGTTTCTACGTGCTCACGGACCAGGCTTTAGGTGAGTACCCTGCTTAACAAAGACGTGTTGTGAACTTTTTGGCTACTTTGGGTGTCGCGAACTATTTGAGGCTGAATGTACATATCAGAACATCGATCTAAATAATATTGTATCTATGTATAGATCAATATGTATAGCGCTTAAGTCAGTGCCTGAGGTATGTTAGCGGCACGGGAGGGTGTTTTTGAGACGGTCAAATAACCGCCTCTGTGGTCTAGTGGTACCACCACCTGCTTCAGACGCAGAGGTCCCGGGATCGATTCCCAGTGGGGGCAGATTTTTCTGTTCGGTTTGGTTGGTGGTAGGGCTTGTTCTAAGTCCGCCTGGCTAGCTACCACCATCTTACCTAAGTCTGTCGCCATAACAACAGTGTTAACAGCATTGTTGTGTTTCAGCAGTTAGAGGTAAGATAGCCAGTTCCTCGGTGGTTGAGGATTCCGGGTGAAGCTCGCTTCCACCTTCGGCCTGATCGTCACACCATCAGGTGAGATACAGGCCAAGAGCTTCCTCTTTGTGGATAAAAAAATATATCACCGAGACTTCAAATTTGTATGTCACGTCATATGTCAATGTCACCCCTCTCATACCTCAGGCACTGAGTTAAGTGCTATATCTATAATTTAACAAACTTGGTTATCAACGTCACATTTGTCACAATATTGTTTATATTTCTTATACATTAGTTATATTAGCATAGTTGTAAACTGTCACTTTATTATGAATCTTGGTACTTTTTGATTTAAGTTCTAAATTATTTACTCCACAAAGATTTCTTCTATACCGTATACCCGTATTTGTTTTTCTTCATTGTGGAATATGCCGTATCATAATATGTTATCACGATTTTCGACCTTAATGCGATTGGATAATGTTCAAAGTTTGATGCCACTTGCATATAGTTCTAAAATACTGAACTGTCCTATCCATGACATTGACAGTGGGGCGCCACCGTCAATACCAGATCGCTGGTTCCGATTTTTGCCATGTTGGAAACCATATAGTTGAACGACGGTAGCGCCCCCCTGTCATTGAGTTTGGTGGGACAGTTCAGCGTGGGTCATCTATACCTCATAAATCAAAGGTTCAGTTTCAAAACCTATGTAACAAATTACTTTTATCAAACTTGATTTTTAAAACAAATGAACAAGACATAAATGCCAATGTTAAATCGAAGGTGCAGTTTCAATACCCCCTATGTAACAATTTTTCATTTTACAAACTTGAATTTTATGAGTAATCAAGAGACAATTTGCAATGTTTGCTATGTCATTGATGTCAGTTAGGAAGTAAAATAATGCATTTTTAGTTTAGCAAATAATTGTGAACGTAAATAATATCTGATTTTGTATTTTTTATGACGTTATAAAACGCCATGTTATCGTATCGACAAATGGCATCAAACTATGTCCATTATAAAAAACTTCTTGACAATAATGTTTATTTAAAAAAAAAACATTATTTCATAAGAGTTTTCGCTTACTTAAACGATCCCTGACTTTCTAGAAAATCCAAAAAAAAATTGGTCGTATGACTTGTTTTCTTAACTTATTGTATTTTCAACTTATAAATTGCCAATTTTTTACTTACATTGTTCAGTCACGGAATGAAAAAGTTCGTCAGTTTTCAAATTGATTCCTTCAACGAATCGCGAGCACATATTACCTTTTGAAACTATGTTACAGAATAATCTCGAGTTAGAGAAAATAATCTTTAACTGTTCGCCAGTAAAGTTCAAAATTATTCAGATCAAAGTTGTTTGACGATTTATCTTGTCAAGAAGATTATTATGATTGATAAACTAAAACCTTCTTGTTGGTTCAACCTGCCATTATTATTTCTATTAAATATAAAAAAACTATTGTCAATATTGGTCAATGTCATCATTGCATTGCACTGATGGGATAGAAAAATAAACAAGCAAAACCTTATTTGTTAGCAAACGTCATATTTATTTAAATGTTAGCAGCACTGTTTCTTGCACTGTTATGTTGGCAGGTTTGACTCTTACAGTACCTAGTGCAAGCGAAAACCGACACTAAGGTGACGAACCTTTTCATTCTGCGACTGTACCAATTTGCCATGCGCCATGTTTAAAATTTTCAAAAATCTTACTTATGACAGTTTACGCCTCGGCCGTGTATATTAGCAGTAAGGCTTCCTGCACACGAAGAAAACTGAGTCGTACTCGTGCTGCATCATGGAGTTTGGGTTTTGTGCGTATTTCGTCTTCACGCCGGTCTGCTCTTTCTGTAAGAAAGAGAGAAAAGTTTTTATTTGCAAAGCAAAGCACCTGTCTCCCTCTCTCTCGAAAGGAGGAAGGAGACCATCCATAAATTACGTCACGCGAATTTCATGATTTCCTTGACACAGCTAAAGCCCGGTCTGTGACCTAAGCTACCCATCCTTATCGCTCGCGCGTAATTATATTGCTGTCGCGACTGTGCGACGCGCGCCCGCAGTGAGTGTGCGAGCGATGGGTAGCTTGGGGTCATTGGACAAAATTCTACGTGCTCACAGCCCAGACTATAGTAATAGTTATTTGTGAGGATCATGTTTTTTTAACTACACTTACACCCGCATTCACAAACGATACTTGCTAAGTGAAGCAGCAAATCGAACCCACAACGTTGAATAGATCTCTGTGATTGGTTCGTGTGGCACCCTGTGAGTCCACGCGCACTGTGAGACCTCATAGTAATGTTTGTGAATATGGGAGTTAGATTAAAACGTTCAAAAAACATGATCTGACCCCTCCCACCCCCCTTGTCACACAAATGTCACACTTTAACGTATAAAGTAATTTATGGATGGCCCCCAGTATTTATATATCACTAGCTTTCCGCCCGCGGCTTCGCCCGCGTGGAATTTTGTCTGTCACAGAAAAACTTTATCGCACGCGTCCCTGTTTCAAAAACCGGGATAAAAACTATCTTATGTCCTTTCCCGGGACTCAAACTATCTCTATGCCAAATTTCATCAAAATCATTTCAGTAGTTTAGGCGTGTAAGCGACACAGACAGAGTTACTTTCGCATTTATAATATTAGTATAGATTTCACTTCAAAAGACAAGCATTTCGCTGAAGAACTCACCAATATATCGAAGCCCACATCTCTGATGATGTCCAGTAGTATATCGTATGGAGGCTCGATGCTGTTCTCTGTCGTCATATCACTGGAAAAGAAAATACAATTCAAATTATTCATATACTCAAACCTCGCCAGGATAAAATCTTAACGATGAATTTAGACGACAAACGTATGGGTTTATCACGTAAAATCGATAACATGGCGCGATAAAAGCTTATCACGGCGGGTACCTATAGTTCTTGCAACTCACGAAGGCGAGTGAGCTTTACCTGTGTGTGTACGTGTACATGCACATAACGATAGTGTAATGTCTATCAAAACTTATGAAAAACGAACAGTAGCGAGCCACCACACATGTGAAGCTCACTCGCCTTCGTGAATGAGGGTTTTCGCGATTGAAAAATCTGCCAGATGGCAATACGTAGACGCGAGGTCCAAATGCTGCATGATTGGTTATTTTTGACATGACATTGACAGATATGTCCAAATCCACCAATCACGCAGCAGTCAGACCCTACATCCACGTCCCGCCATCTGGCGGATTTTTCAATCGCGAACACCCTCATTGCAACGACTATAATATTCAAGGCCTACTGATGAAGGTCACGATACTGCATAACTTTTGCTATAGCATTGGTACCTTTGTCTCGATTGCGGGTCCAATGACAGTTTAACTTTCCCCGGGACAAACTTGACCTTCACTGGTTGGGTTCTTTGATTGGCGGGGTCTGACGCAGAATGTGCATTTCGCAAAATGACCACTTCAAAAAATGCACTCTTTTCTATCCAAATGTAAAGGCTGAAGAGTTTGTTTGTATTATATTAGTATGAAAAATGTGCACATTCTGCGTCAGACCCGATTAGCGGTCAAGCTGTAGATCCTGGCTACACAGGAGTGGCAGCGGTGGGAACGAGAGATGGGAATAGTCCCGTGTACTGTACTGTACCTGTAGTGGTACAGTAGTTGTCCCAGGTTGATCCAGTAGCCCTCAGGCTGTAGTGAGCTGTAGGTAGATTCTCTGGACGAACTCAATGACGTTCGGTGCGCAGTCTTCTTAACTACTCATTCCAAAGCTCTCAAAAAGCCTACCTTAAATGCTCTAAGCAGATCATAGGACTGAGTAGGACCAAAATGCGCATCTTAGTTCGAGCGCACACTGGATCACTGCAGCTTAAACAAGCACTTGTCCACTATGGGACTGTCCGAAACAAGAACGTGCAGGATGTGCCAAGAGGCAGATGAAACGCCACTACACATTCTCACGGACTGCGGACCTTTGATGCGCAAGCGGAGCTTACTCCTGGGCAAACACATCTTAAGCCCACAAGATTTAAAACATATCCCCCCCAAAAGATACTGCACTACCTAATATCTATTAGGTACTGATCTCAGCCTACGTGTCGTAGTGATACTGGGACTTCATAGAACCAGAATAGCCGCTCAATGCAATAAATTATTTATTTATTACTAGCTTTCCGCCCGCGGCTTCGCCCGCGTGGAATTTTGTCTGTCACAGAAAAACTTTATCGCGCGCGTCCCTGTTTCAAAAATCGGGATACAAACTATCCTATGTCCTTTCCCGCGACTCATACTATCTATGCCAAATTTCATTAAGATCGGTTCAGTGGTTTAGGCGTGAAAGGGAAACAGACAGACAGAGTTACTTTCGCATTTGCCCCCAATTTGTAGGAATTGAAATGCGGGTCTAATTCCTACGTATTTATTTGCCCAAGATAGAAAATAATTAAAATAGTAATTGAGAATGTTACTAGGTATGCAAAATCACTTGAAACCTATGTTACAGTTAAGCTTTTACATTTACAAATACATTAGTTTTTATTTCATTCAAAAATACCCAGTAGTTATGATTTTATAGGCATTCAAAGTTCGCTTAAATATTGAGTCCCGCCGACGGTCACGTGACCCCGCGTGACGTACATTCACAGCGTCCGCTCACAAGAAAACGGATATAAACATACTTAAATATATTTTTTTTGTAAATACAAACTTATTATACATATTAAGACCCAGACCCATCACAGAAATTAAAATTGAACCAAACCCAAACTTGATGCGATTGTGTCGTTTTATTGCGAATTACCTTCCAGCTCCATCATTAGACCCTGATTACTATATAGAATTAAAATACTCATCAATACAAAACGAACGAGCCCAAACTCGATGCATTTAAGTCGTTTTATTATAGAGTTCCTATGGCCACCTTCCAGCTCCATCATCAGATCAGCTCCATGTCATCATAATATTGCATGGTCATCCAAATCACATGTGTTTGCGAAATTTCAGCTTAATCGGTTGCCTGGAAGTGGGTCTTAATTCAGCTTGCAAGATTCCACCCATACAAATATGAGCCAGTCGTTGTAATATGACGTCACGCGCATAAAATGGCGGGCCGGCCGCCGCCCGCACTTTTAAAATTCAATATCTTGGAAACTAATTGACGTATCGAAATAATTCTTTCACGTGTATTTTTTATTTTTAACAGAGAATACAGAAAGCTAAAAAACAAAATTAGTGAACATTCTTCATTCAAAACAATCGTCGTTCGTCTACACGTCGTCGTACGTCACACTCACACACTCTTCCTTCTCTTTCACACATCCTTACGTTCCGTTTCGCACTCATATCCTACATTTATAATATTATATTAGTATACAGGGTGGAAACGATAAGTGATCTCACCCGATTATTTCTTAACTATACAAGATATCGAAAAACTGGTTACTGATCCTGAAAGTGCATCAAGAGATCTTTCAAACGGTACCAATAATAGGTTACAGAATAAACTAGAACTATCCGAAAATTCAACGTTTTCAGCTTCCATACTAAATGTATGCAAACCACATAATAATATTAGAAGTGTATTTTTTTAAATTAAATAAATAACTTAAAATAAACTCGTAAAATGCATTATTATTTAAAATTATTTATGGAATACATCAGTTTTTTAGGCTTTACTTGCTTTAATATTATCAAGAGATGAGTGCCATGACTGTGGTAGAACTAAATGTATGGAAGATAGAAACACTGAATTTTTGGATAGATGCACTTTATTCTGTAACCTATTATTGATACCGTTGGATAGAGCTCGTGAAGCACTTTTAGGATCAGTAAATAGTTTTACGATATCATGTGTAGTTTTTAATATTATGAGGCTGTACCAAATGTATGGAAGCTGTAAATATTTAATTTTCGGAAAGATCCAGTTTATTCTGTAACCTATTATTGATAACGTTTGATAGAGCTCATGAAGCACTTTCAGGATCAGTAATTAGTTTTTTGATATCTTGTATAGTTTAGAAATAATCGAGTGAGATCACTTATCGTTTCCACCCTGTAGATGTTACGGTTAATGTGATAAATTGTAAATTATTAATAATAACCGGTTATTATGAATAATTACCGACAGTCGCGGTAAAAGTGATAAATTAATCACATTTAACAGTGATTATTTAATAATTCAACCTTAGTACTAACAAATTTCATAAAAGAGAACAACATCTTGTGTACGTGCTCGTGTACAGCCAAACTTTTGAACGTTTTGATATCATTTATTAATATAATTTGGCATAATGAGTTTGGAATGTTTCTTGCATAATATTACTTTTCCATGATGCCTATAACATAATGTTTTGATTTAAAATGAAAAATAGGTAAGCCGCCTATTTAGTTTTATACACACATAAATGACCTCATATTAATTACATTTACCTACCAAATCATGCGGTAATTATTCATAATAACCGGCGATTATTCATAATTTTCAGATGTATCACTTTGACCGTAACATAGATACTGTACAGTACCTGTAGTGATACAGTAGTGGTCCCAGGTTGATCCAGAAGCCCCCAGGTTGCAGTATGCTATAGATTCTCTCGACGAACTCTATGACGTTTGGTGCACAGTCTATGAAGAAACACGTCGCCACGCAGTCCCATTCCTCGGCCTCTGTGTATACCTATGGATAAAGTAGATAATTCATAATTATTGTCATCGAATCAGAAATGAGGAGATCTCGACTAAGAGCTAGTGAACGCCAGACCTACGTCATTTTATAAAAGCTGAAAGTTTGTCAGCGTATGCTCATAATATATGTTAGAATGCTGGTGAATCATGGAGTATGGGTCATCGTGGCTCTGGCAGCTATCCTAAAAAACTGTCTGGCAAGGAGTTGGAACTGTCAAAACTGTCTGGCTGATGAGGAAACTAATACCAAAAAATCTGATTTTTACGCATAATATTTGGGCAATGATAAGAAGTTGTTTCCACATAAGCCAGATAGTTTTGACAGTTCCAACTCCTTGCCAGACAGTTTTTTTAGGATAGCTGCCAAAGCCACGATGACCCAAACTCCATGATTCACCAGCATTCTAACCTATATTGGGAGCATACGCTGACGAACTTTCAGCTTTTATAAAATGACGTAGGTCTGGCGTTCACTAGCTCTTAGTCTAATCCGTAAACGAACTAAAGTCGCTGATATAGCCCGACGGATTAGCAAGCTGAAGTGGCAGTGCCCACTGCCACTTCAGCTTGAGCTGAAGTGGCAATGGGCAGGGCACATAGTACGCAGAACTGACGGCCGATGGGGCAGCAAGGTTCTGTAATGGAGGCCGCGGTCCGGAAAACGCAGCGTGGGACGTCCACCCGCAAGGTGGACCGTCGACTTCATAAAGGTAGCCGCTACCAACCGGTCATCATCAATCAATAAAAGCTTGTTTTTAAAAAGGTTTTGTCAATATTAATTTATTCACATTTTATTATCATCATCATCATTTCAGCCACGGGACGTTTACTGTTAAACATAGGCTTCCCCCAATGATTCCACATCGCTAGATTGGAATCGACCTGCATCTAGCGCCTTCCTGCTACTTTTTATGAGGTCGTAATGTCGTATCAGGTATCGTAGCAGGTATTTTTATATAAAAACATGTGTAGATAGTTCTATCCACGAAGACGCGCCCCACCATTCTTCCGCTAATGTTTGAGTGTTATCGGTACACGCTAAATCATCCATGAGTGCACACGCACACTACAATAATGACGCTCGGATTGCTCGGATCAAACTCCCCGCAACTCGCGCTTTCCAAAAATTGGTGGGGCGCGTCTTCGTATATGAAACGATCTACTTTGTAAGTTATTTTATAACCAACTCACCTTAAGAAAATCCCCAGCGGTCATCGAGAAGTTATGGTTAGGTCTGTCCCCAGAAGGTCGCACATCCGGAAACTGTGCAGCCAGCAGTTGGTGGTCACATGTCACGTTGTTCACGTATTGGTGCACCCACGGGTGTACTGTGTATTTATTGGCCTGTGCAGATGAATTTAGGTTTTAAACCTGTAGGAGTATGGTGGAAATTCGATTAAGATTTGGAAGCAACAAAGGCGCTTTTTGGTTGAGTATGTGCAGCCAATAGTTGGTGGTCACGTCACGTCACGTTATTCACGTATTGGTGCACCCAAGGGTGTACTGTGTATTTGTTAGCCTGTACAGATGAATTTAGTTTTTATACCTGTCGGAGTATAGTCCACATTTGTTTAGAAGCAACAAAGGTGCTTTTTGTTTGAGGATATAAGCCAATAGTTGGTGGTCGCACGTCACGTTGTTCACGTATTGGTGCACCTACGGGTGGACTGTGTATTTATTGGCCTGTACAAACGAATTTTGATTTTAAAAGTACTTAAACCTATGGTCGAAATTTGATATTCTGTTAGGCAGTATTGTAGGTAAAGGAGTTAGTAAGTTTAGCAGTAGTTTTTTTAAGAGATAAACGGTGTGATGAATGAATCATGAATCCAAACCTTGTTGAGCACTTAAATTCAAGCCTTGTTAAACGCTACAATTTCTGTGTAGCCAGAATCTACAGCTGGACATGTAAAAACGTAACCAGTGAAGGCCAATTTTATTATTAAATCAATCTGTCATAAAATCCATAGCAAAATTAAGTAAAGTTAATAAGGGACTTGTACCAAGCGAATAATATGACAGATGACAACAAAAAAGGTTTATTTCTTTCAAAAATGAAACTAAAAATAGTGACAAAGTTTCTTCCTACTTACCTCCGGACACCTGTTGAGTATAAAGTTGCTTGCGAACAGCATGAACAGCGAAAACTCGTTGCCCTGGCACGCGAACCCTCGCGCCGCCGTCTCCCAGGCCAGCCGGCCCAGCCCTGCTCCCGGGACCAACACCTTGACCTGGCCGCGGTCACTGCAAGGGTTATGTCACGTCACGGTCGCGTCGCGCTACAGTCGCGCCGCTAGCAGCATGAGAGCGAGCACTCGTTCCCTGATTACACTGATTTGGTATTGGCCGATTCTTCATACAAATTAGAATCGGGCCCAACTATCCGCCAATTAAAAGCTTTTAGAGGAAGTTTTAGGTACCTGGCTACGAAGTGCTGGAATAACCTTCCACCACCCATTAGGCAAGCTATAACCAAGTTTACTTTTAAAAGTAAACTTAAAAAGCACATACTGGCATTCCAAAAAATCTCTAATGGCCAGGTATAGTCAACCCCTCTAATTTGACATTATTTATAATACTGACCTGCTAATCCTATTCCTGACATCTAATTTACATAGTTTAATATATCATTTTGACATTAAACTAATTTTCACTTTTTATTTATTTAATTTTTCTTTATCATTTATCATTTGTGTTTTAATGCCCTTGCGAATTGCTGCGGCGATTACCGCCGCTCTCCACTTTCGTCGGCCGCCGTCTGAAAATCAGCGTCCAGACATTAGCTTGTGACACATGCTGAGACGGAGACCTTTTGCTGCCGCAACTCTGCTCACATTTCATAACATTTCTCATTGTTATTTAATTTATTTTATTTTTTTTTTAATGTGCATGTTAAATATTGTATTATGTTATTTTGTTGAACTATGTATGTGACTTTGTGTGCAGCAAATAAATGCTTACTTACTTACTTACTTAAAAGTCGATGACCTGCACTTAGGCTAACATGTTACGGGACTATTCCCACCTCTCGTTCCCACCACTGCAACTCCTGTGTAGCCAGGAACTACAGCTTGACCGCCATAAAAACCCAACCAATGAAGGTCAAGTCCCGGGGGAAAGTTAAACCGTCATTGGGCCCGCAACGAAATTAATCAGAAGAACATAAGAGTTCGAAATTAAGGTTCGACTTCCCTCCATTGCAAAGCGGACTATGATAGGCTAACATGTTGTCTAAATTACGTCAGTAATACGAGTTCGTCTCAACTCTCGCTGCGCGACCTACATGTCACGTCGCGTCACAGTCACGCCATATGCACGCCACTCACCTGTACTCCTCTTTAGGATACCGTTCCTCCAGCTCGTTGAGTATCGGCGTGTAGCACTGTTCCCTCTCCGCCGCGCCGATGTCGCTCCAGTCTCTCACTATGTTCTTTAGCACCGATTGGACCTGCAACCAGTTTAAACAAGAGCATATTTTAGGCGATTATCACACTGCACCGCGCTCGGCCGCGGTACGCGGGACGACAGATTTAATTATTATATTATTATGCGAGTACCTCAGTTTGTATAGAAAACACGCGCAGCACAACACACTGACAACGCGTTTGCGCGCGGGATTCGTTATTATGTCGTCACGCGGACCGTGGCGGAGCGCGGTGCAGTGTGATAGTCGCCTTATCTATCAGAATAGTGAATTGGCAAAAGAAAGAACCTCAGCGGTTACGCTCTACGTTTGATTCGAATTCATCATAATATTACGGATCTAGAAAACTAAGTAGAGAAATCGGATCTAGTGCATAAACCATACAAAAGCTAGTATTAAAATAAATAAAAAATAAAAGACTAATAAAAAAAACTTAAATTGTTGCTCTTAAAGAACCTTTTCTTGTCTCTTTGCCCTACCAGTGCTTCGAGACAACATTTGACAAGTGCTGAGAAAAAGTTTGGGTAAGATTGCCTGGTTCATGGGTTCATGACAGTTACTTTTTTCCTGGGAAAAACCTGATCTACACTGGTTAAGTTTTTTTTTTGTGGTCAAGCTGTACCTCCTGCCTACACAGGAGTTGCAGCGGTGGGAACTAAAGATAGGAATAGCCTTGTATACTTCATTATCACCATTTCAGCCACTGCTGAACATAGGCCTCCCCCAATTGCTTCCACATCGCCAGGTTGGTAGCGGCCTGCATCCAGCGCCTTGCTGCTACCTTTATGAGGTCGTCGGTCCACCATACGGGTGATATACTTAAGTAACGCTAAAGAACTAACCTTCTCAACATCATGCTGCATCTTATGCTGCTTCTGTGAGGCGATCTCACAGTTATTATAGTTGCATCCAAAGCTCTCCCCATTCGTGCCTATCTCCATACTATTGCTATGGTCCACATTCTCGAACATAGTGTCCACATCCTTGATGATCAGGTGGACTATGGTATTGTTCACGTCAAGGCACTGTTCGCAATTTTTTCCACTAAACCTTTAGTTGCATTGGTTTGTCCATTGATGATTAAATAAATACAATTTACCTAGGTACCTAAGTTAGCAAGAAGTGCGAACGAACGAACAGTGTCACTTTCTGTCTTTCCTTTCTCTGGACCGCAAAGAGGTAATCATCATCATCATTTCAGCCACAGGACGTCCACTGCTGAACATAGGCCTCCCCCAATGTTTTCCATGTTGATCAATTGGTAGCAGCCTGCGTCCAGCGCTTCCCTACTGCCTTTATGATGTCGTCAGTCCACCTTGTGGGTGGACGTCCCACACTGCGTTTTCCGGCACGCGGCCTCCATTCCAGAACTTTTCTGCCCCATCGGCCATTGCCACTTCAGCTTGCTAATCCGTCAGGCTATGTCAGCGACTTTAGTTCGTTGACGGATCATAGCTTCACCGGAGGTGCAACAAAGGAACTAGAGATGGGAATAGTCCCGTATACTTCATCATCATTTCAGCCACAAGACGTCCACTGCTAAGCCGCTAAGCGGCTCAAAAACTGAACTCCGACAAACGTTACTTCGACATTACGTTACTCCGACACTACTGAATATCGACATGACTTTACTTCGACACTACACTACTTAGACAAAGGCGAATATCCTTTGTCGAAGTAGTGTAGTGTCGAAGTAAAGTCATGTCGATATTCAGAAATGTCGGAGTAACGTAATGTCGAAGTAAAGTTTTGTCGGAGTTTACTTAGGTAGCCCTGCTAAGCATAGAGGCCTATGCTTAGCAGTGGTCCTATGATTTTCACATCGCCCGATTGGCAGCGGCCTGCATCCAGCGCCTTGCTGCTACCTTTATGAGGTCGTCGGTCCACCTTGCCAGAACTAACCTTCTCCACATCATGCTGCATCCTATGCTGCTTCTGTGAGGCGATCTCACAGTTATTATAGTTACATCCAAAGCTCTCCCCATTCGTGCCTATCTCCATACTGTTGCTATGGTCCACATTCTCGAACATAGTGTCCTCATCCTTGATGATCAGGTGGACTATGGTATTGTTCACGTCAAGGCACTGTTCGCAATTTTTTTCCACTAAACCTTTAGTTGCATTGGTTTGTCCATTGATGATTAAATAAATACAATTTAACTACTTAACTTTTAGCAAGAAGTGCGAACGAACGAACAGTCTCATTTTCTGTCTTTCCTTTCTCTGGACCGCAAAGAGTTAATCATCGTCATCATTTCAGTCACAGGACGTCCACTGCTGAACATAGACCTCCCCCAATGATTTCCGCATCGCCCGGTTGGTAGCGGCCTGCATCTAGCGCCTTGCAGCCTTGCTACTACCTTTATGAGGTGGGAATAATATAAATCATCATCATTTCTTTCACGGGATGTCCACTGCTGAACATAGGCCTCCCTAAATTACTTCCACATCGCCCGGTTGGTAGCGGCCTGCATCCAGCGCCTTGCTCCTACCTTTATGAGGTCGTCGGTCCACCTTGTACTTAGGTAACACTAAAGAACTAACCTTCTCAACATCATGCTGCATCTTATGCTGCTTCTGCGAGGCGATCTCACAGTTATTATAGTTGCATCCAAAGCTCTCCCCATTCGTGCCTATCTCCATACTGTTGCTATGGTCCACATTCTCGAACATAGTGTCCACATCCTTGATGATCAGGTGGACTACGGTATTGTTCACATCAAGGCACTGTTTGAATTTGGTCAGGTAAGTCTTGTATTTGTCGAGGCGCCGCTGGTGCGTTATGGGCAGCATGGATATGATCTTTTCGGACTTGTGTATTCTGTCCAGGCTGCATAATCTGGAAAAAATATTGCAGCATGTAAAATATTTGTTCATAGTCTACCTCAATAGATTAACTGTGTTACAAACATGCCTTTGTCCAACAGTGGACGTCTTTCGGCTGAAACGAACATATAGAACTAATATCAATTTATAGCCACGATAGCCGAACGGTGAAGGGGTCGGAGTGGCCGACTCGAGATTCGAGGAACGCGGGTTCGAATCCCACCACCGTTCGACTATTGTGGTGAGCCCACTCGTAACACAAGCTTATTTAGCTTACCACGAGGGGCTAACGGGACTATTAGTAATTTGGGCAATACAAATTGTTAATAATCTTTAAAAAAAAATTTAACTGCAGACTTTTAGTCGGCGGATAGTTTGGTCAGCTTCTCATTTGTATGAGGCATCGGCCGATACCAAATCGGTATAATGTGCGTACATCCGTACTGTTCATACTGATTAACAGCCTAACCAAACATGTAAAAAAATATTCGCATTGACATACAAATTAAAGTTGATGATGTTTTTTTTACAAACTGTATCTATACTAATATCTATTCTATACTAATATTATAAATGCGAAAGTAACTCTGTCTGTCTGTCTGTCTCTCTTTCACGCCTAAACCACTGAACCGATTTTGATGAAATTTGGCATAGAAATAGTTTGAGTCCCGGGAAAGGACATAGGATAGTTTTTATCCCGGTTTTTGAAACAGGGACGCGCGCGATAAAGTTTTTCTGACAGACAAAATTCGGGCGAAGCCGCGGGCGGAAAGCTAGTTTATTAATAAATGTATGATAATAGTAATAGAGAAGATATAAAACTATTATTCTTATCACACACAAAAGTCCACTATCGCTTATGTAATTAATTTATAATTTTAATAGTACAGTTACACATAATTGATATTAATTACTTTATGACCTAGTTATCACCACATACTATGTAGCTGTTATCAAACTATAATTAATTCTTATTACATTACCAACATTGACGGAATATGTCTAGAATATGTAAATAAATATGTATGGGTTATTTAAATAAAAGCAGGCTTCAAACTCGGTGGACTGACGACCTCATTTATGAGGCTCATTTCACCTCCCATTCCCATCACTTCAATTTAAAGAAAAAAGTGTGGTTGTGTTCCCCAGTCGACGAAGCACATGATGTGGTGCCCTGAGTGCCCAAACAACTGCACGCGGGAAGATTTAATGAAGGCTACTGACAACGCCACTCTTGTTGGGTTGACACTGTGTAGGTTTGTTGTCGACACGTTAAGAAGAACTCAAAGAAAGCCAAAAATTGGCGATAGGTATAATAACATACAACACTGATTAACGGGGCAGAAAAGTTCTCCAGTGGCGACCACGAGTCAGAAACTCAGAAGGCGTAGTGTGGGCAAGCTTCCGAGCAGATGGACCGATGATCTGGTCAAGGTCAGGTTGGGAAAGTAGCTGGGTGCGGTGGGTGGCGGGAAGTAGCTGGGTGCGGGCAGCGCAGGGCCAGTCGTTGTGGGGTGCGATGGTGAGGGACCTCCTCGTGGTGCACCCTGGGCAACGTCCGCGTGGTCTGTTCACGCGGGCGGCTAACTTCTCACCTGCGCGGCAGGTCTCGTCAACTCGGCGGGCCTGTCGGGCAACCCGTAACCCACAATTGAGTGGGCCGGGGGCCGTCGAGGCATTTGCCCGGGCCACGATGCAGGGGACATCTTTAAAACCCCCACAGGTGGGGGCTGGCGGGGCGTTTGCCCGGGCCCATTCTTTGGAGGGCCGCTCTCGGTACTTCTCTGATCAGCAGAGCTGACCGAGCAGCGGCATAGAGCAGACCGTAACCCGCTACGGCGGGCCGGGGGTCGTGTTTTACCAGGGCCGCGAGGAGAAAACCTCTATAAAAAACAACTGGAGGAGGGGATTGGGGGTTCCCTCGAAGCCAGAGGCTTGCTCGTGAGCGAGCCTTTAGCCTGAGGCGGAGCTGCGGACGAATGTCCAACCAGGACAATAACTCGCGGCTCCGTTTCTTTGGGCTCTGGTGGAAACCGTCGGGTTTTAGTGGGTAGGCCCCGCCTTTAGTGGGTAGGCGGGGAGAGTCCCACATAATCCACTGGCCGTCCCCATAGAGCAGTGGGTATGCGCAAAGCATTTCCCGACGAAAAAAAAAAAAGGGCCAGCCGTTGTGGAAATCCTTGGGGAGGCCTTTGTCCAGCAGTGGACGTCATTTGGCTGAGACGAACTAACGAACGAACAACATTGATTGGGTTTCACTGAAGGCTTACATTGGAGGCAAGACTCCTCAGTCTTACAACAGGTAGCCCTTGTTTTGTACTGCTCATTCATTATTTATTGAGTGGTTTAGGTATAAAAACAAGAGTTTATTTAACCTTTAAAAGCGAAAGGTTAATGACTGACTCACTTATCACGAAATCTCAGAAACTACAAGTGCTAGGAGTCTCAAATTTTGCATGGGGTTCCTTTTAGACTAGGCGCAGACCATCGATTTTTAGTTGGCCGATAGTGGTGCCCGATGCTCACTAAGAACGGATTTTACTAAGGCGGTAAAACGGGATCCACGCGTACGCAGTCGCGGGCGGCCGCTAGATCCTACTTCTTCCTACTAATCCTACTAATATCCTACTAAACTAATATTATAAATGCGAAAGTTTGGATTTCTGGATGTCTGGATGTTTGTTACTCTTTCACGCAAAAACTACTGAACGGATTTTGTTGAAACTTTACAGTATTATTGTTTGTAACCCAGATTAACATATAGATAGGCTATACTTTATGCCGATCTGTGACACTAAATTTCACAGGTGAAGCCGCGGGCAAAAGCTAGTACCTACATATAATAAGTAGGTATGAGTTATTGCACCCACGCTAATCTGCAGCCTGATAAGTAGATATCACCATAATACAGTATTATACAGTATTCACAACGATTATAAACTATGAATCACAAGTAAAAACGTCAGATACACGTGTAGCAGTAGTTTATCCATTGTTTACATGTTATAAAATGTAAATATGTTTGTTGTTTCGTCATACAGTGCTTATTTATTCTGTGGTCATACGACATTGTGTCAATGATCTAAGATTAGAAGATTCTAGAATTTAAGGTCTAGGGTGGAACTATTTTTTCTATTCAGGTGAGGAGGACTGCTTTAGTGAACCCCCTTACAACACAAGCATATTTATTTAGATATGCACCATGATGTGATTCTAAAACTACCATCAAGAAGTGAAAACTCCTGTGATGATGAAATGAATCCTGCTTTGCTTTGTAGAATATTAAGTTTTGTAGTACAATATAAGTTGCCCTGTACTGCTGTAAATATTGTTAATGTGTCAATGATTTTATTTTGTTTTATATTCTAGCTTCAAAAATATTAATTCTAATTAGAATATGTAATTTATTTTATCAAGGACTAGCTGACCCGGCGAACTTTGTTCCGCCTTAATGGCAATAAATAAGCAGACTTTTTTTTAATTTCGAACGGGATAAAAAGTATCCTATGTCCTTCTCCTGGCTCTAAACTACCTCCCGGACAATTTTCAGCTAAATCGGTTCAGCCGTTCTTGAGTTATAAGCGAAGTAACTAACATGACTTTCTTTTATATATGGCTTAAATGAGGTGGAGAAGCCATTTTAAAAGGTATGAGCGGGACGGAGAGGGCCATCTTACCAAGCAGGGATGTTATGGATATCCGTAACCGTAACCGAAACTATCGGATATCCGAAATAAAAAAATATCCATAACCGTAACCGAAACTGATTCAAAAGTTACGGATAGTTTCGGATAAAGGCGGAGTCTAAGGGTACAATTATTCCAAACTGCAAAACTCTATGAAATCTGCAGTATACACGCCGCAGCTGCAATGCCGCGCTGCCGATTTCATAGAGTTTTGCAGTTTGCGGTCTGCGGCCCGTCTTGGAATTGTACCTTAAATCTTAATATTTGTTACCAACTTGTCTGGCATTCCCTGGCACCATCTAATATGCCAGCCTGTTTAACCTTTATCATACATAGGTGTCGTCTTAGTTGGTACATAAAGTAGCTATGTGGGTCACGCAGCATCTTGCTATTTGAATTATACCTACATTTTTGAAATTCTAATAATTCCGTAACCGAAATTATCCGAAACTTTCGGATAATCTGAAATGATTTCATATCCGTGACCGTAACCGAAACCGGTATAATATTATTCTAATATCCGTAACCGTATCCATAACCGAAACTTCATAATTATCCTTATTATCCCTGTTACCAAGTACAAGTGCAGGCAGAGCAGGTAGTAACGGCGCGCACGCACGGGTGACTTTTGTCACAGTATGTCAACTACTAATTACTGTCATGGTGACAAAAGTTTCTGTGACTGACTGTACGGTAGTCAGTCACAGAAACTTGAATTTTGGGCACATTAGAATAATAATTTTTAACCAAGGTAGATAAAGTTAAAAACGGGATTATTTCCAAAAAACTAAAAATTGTCGACAATTACAGCAAGAATTTACCAAGTGTTATACCATTTTGGAATCCTTACTAAATGCGCCAAATTATGACGTCACATGCCACACTTCCGTAGTACTTTTTTTTTTCAGTACAGTCAGTTTAAACTAGACAAAATTTTTATTTTGAAATTTTTTTTGGGAATAATGTATTTTTTTTATCCAAACTGGAGCAGCTGGTTTTGTAATTTTGATAACAATTTAGAGAAGCATTATTCAGGGTTACATAACAAAAAAAAATTTGGAAAAAGTGAAGATTTGTGGCAACACGAGTAAAAAGACCGTCACCTGGAGTAGAAATTTTTGATTTTTTTTAAATGCCCATTATTTTGAAAATATGCCACATAGATTTTTTTATATATTTTTCTGATAACCAGCATAACTTGCCTCAACACCCAGTTCCGGCTTGACGTTACATTACGGGACACCCTGTATATAGAAATGCTGAACTAGAATGCTGTAGATAAGTATACCCTAACTAACTTAAACCAATAGTTGACTTTTGTTACTGAATTCTTTTCTTATTGGAAATTAACATTCTAGAGTAAACAATATACTTTATAATTTAAAGTATCTTTAAGAGAATACTGTAACATTATACTAAGTCCAAATCTAACTCTGTTATTAAATAGGTACATCCTTATTTTATAAATCTTTTTTCAAGTTTACTTTCAATGAATTGTGCAATAAATAATAAATAAATAATGCACAATATACTGTTATCTTTTCTTATCATTTCAAAAACAGTTTGTTAGGTTTTGAGATATAAAAATATGAAGGTCATTAAAAATGTTAAACAAAAAACATCTAACATGTGTCCATTTTAAGTGTATTTATTGATTGAGTAAACAATATTTATTTGTGAAAGAATGCTTATCTTGCAGCAAATAAATCTCGTTTTAAAAATAGCTCTAAACAAATGAATACAGACTGACTGAACCATTATCTCTACAGGGTGTTTTAATATTGATGGCATCATTTTAAAATAAGACTACTCAAGATACATAGTACATTTCCCAAATATGAGACAAATCCAAAGAGTTTTTTGTCTTTATTTTTACTATTTATTTGTATTCAATGTTATAGGTGTATTTTACAACAAAAAATTATGCTTTGATATGCTGTTGACTGTACAATTTAAAGTCTATAAAATACAAATAAATAGTAAAAATAAAGACAAAAGTCTAATTGGATTTGTCTCATATTTTGGGAATGTTTAATTACTATGTATCATGAGTAGTCTTATATTAAAAGGATGCCAATGATTTAAATTTCACTTTATATAGTATGTATAAAGCTACTATCAGATGATAATGACTAACTTATACATTTTTCCTGTTTCCAACAAAGACAATGTAACTATGTAGTTAGTGACCATCTAATTGGAGATCTAGCAGAAAATTTCAAGGCAAAATCCACCTAACGACACAGGGAATTAGGACCACACCGCGGCACGTGTACAGGGGAACAACAAAGCGTATTGTAGTATCTAAATAGGTTAATTATATCAGGCAATACAGCGCAAACAAAGACTTGTTGCTATGTCGGTTTTATCGCGATTTATCACAAAAAATCATCGCGCAAACCCTTGTAATGTATCACTAGAGTATTCTAATACATTTTAGGACTATTTTTAAAACAGATTTACTCACTTGTAGTACTTAAATGCGTTCACAACGGCGACGAAGTGGGCCCTCTCTTTTACCTCGTCGATTTCTTCAGTTGCGGCCGCGAATGACATCTTCGGTGATCTAAAATGATCAAATAACTAATGCCGATAGAAATGATATATTATTTGATATCTTGCGACACTAAATACAGTATTTAAATTGAATATTTTGGGAACGGCAAGCAAATAAATAGATCGCTTCCCGTTTGACAGCTAACTAATGTTCGGATACGCAACCTGTGGGTGGACAAGACGATGTTAAGTTTCTGAAGATATCCGAATACGTTCATGTATTATTTTGAAATTAAATTAAAGTGAGAAGTTAATTATAAATGTATTTTATTTGTAATTTAATTAGTCTAATTAATGTTTTTTTGCTTAATTACGTTATGTAATAATATTTTAATGAACAGTATGAAAATCATGAACAAAACGCCACTTTCAATATGTCGGAAAATGGATTGATCTGTGTTTGTCAACATATTATTGATTTTTCTGTTTTACTGTATTTAATGAAATGGTGCGAGTTTAAATAATTAATCAAACCTGCAAATTATCGGTCACCCATGTAAAAGTTTCGTGTGTGAACTTAAAGAACTTTGAACAAAAACTTTTTGCGTATGTTTGAATTTTAATATTGATCACATTTTTGCATATTTCCGTGCATTATTTACGTAAATTAACTTTTGTAATGTATTTCCCAATTGGCAGCTAGATGAACTGTGTTAAAATATAGTTTAATCACCGCAGTAGCTTACGACAGTGTAAAAAATCGATAAAACCTGCAGTGTCTTGGTTGCTAAGCTGTATGTCACATTATGCAGTAAAAACAGATGTTTTATATGTAATTATGGAGAGAGGAGGAATATAAGCTGTTAAACATGATGGAAAATATTTTATCTCAACGGGTAACGCCGCTGTTAAAATGTATAGTGTTGTTTTTGTTTATTTTCACTGCGAAAGTGTTAACTTCGCGGCCGCAAGAGTCATTGGACTCTAGGAATGGGATACATCATGCAAAACCCTTCCACTATGTGAGGACATTCACCAAATATCACCACAGAAGAACTATACAGTGGAACAATCTCCCAGATTTCTACTGGACAACTCAAGACCATCCCAAAGTCAGCAAAAGATCTGCAGATCCTAAAGAATACAACCCTTACTGGCTGGAAAGACATTTGAACAGAAAAAAATCTAGGTTCTTAGGTCCAGTGCAAGAAGGTAACAGAAAAAAAAGAAGTGTAGAAAACTCTTTTGTCAGTGAAGAGAGTGAGTCAAGTTACTACTGGCCAGATCCCCAGATTAAAAAAAGAAGTGCTATAATTCCAAATTCGAATGATTTTATTGGGGCTGGGAATTCAAATAACGTTGCAGATTCTAAAGACGTTGGATCTACGGAGACTAAAGCAATTGGTACGAGTAAATCTGAGGGTAACGTCAAAAATGGTCTTCCAGAGGCCAAAGTTAAGAATAAAAAGGTCGCCACAACTGGTATACCGCCTATTTCTTGTTTGTACAAACTTCATAGAATAGCTGTGAGTGCTACGCCTTCATATGAAGATGAGGAGCAGGCACAAATGGTGGTTGAAAACTATAGCTATGGTTTGTATTTTACTTTGAGAGATTTATAAGAAAATGTACGTCTAGATAAAAAAAAAATTCAATTTGATGTCGTAATATTACAGATATTGGTCCTATATCAGAGACAACGTTGCCTAACGGAGACACAGCTCAAGTCGAACAGTGTACGGACACAAAAGCAACTTGCTACGCTCTGTGGCATCGTCACACGGATGGAAACATCACTATATTGGGACAAGGTAACATAATATGTGAATTACATATTTTTCACAACCAAATAAATACAAAAGGATAAACAGTGCTTAGTTACATAACTGCTGTATCTTCTTTTTACCCGACTGCGCCAGAAGGAGGGTTATTAAATTATTGTAATCAATGTATGACAGCAGATTCCCCAATGTTGGTCCCAACACCACTGTCTGCATCTCACTGTAGATCTAGAAAATTGCTTGTCCAATGTTGTCCAATGCTCTTTCCTCGATCACTGTAAAGCTTCATCGAAATCCGTTCAGTAGTTTTTGCGAGAAAGAGTGACAAGCATGTAGACATCCAGACAGTCGCACACATACACACACATGCACGAATAAACCTCACTTATACCTACTTGTAATTCAATAGTGTACTTAAGATTAAGTTTCATTTTTATAGTAATAACACCTCTATTCTGTAATACCTACTTATTCACGCAATATTTCAATAGTTATTGTATTGTAAACACAGCTCCGCCATTAATTTTAGATTAAGCCAACAGCTCATAACTCGTACCACAAGCAATACTTTTTTACTCGGGCGAAGTAGCTGCTGCCATACATGTGTAAGTTTTTGCATACTACCCGCATAATATTTTTAATACTTTTGATAATGTTTCGAAATTTTGTTTTTTCCTACCTTAAAAAATTTTCATACTGTTATAATGAAGAATGTTCACTAATTTTGTTTTTTAGCTTTCTGTATTCTCTGTTAAAAATAAAAAATACACGTGAAAGAATTATTTCGATACGTTAATTAGTTTCCAAGATATTGAATTTTAAAAGTGCGGGCGGTGGCCGGCCCGCCATTTTATGCGCGTGACGTCATATTACAACGACTGGCTCATATTTGTATGGCTGGAATCTTGCAAACTGAATTAAGACCCACTTCCAGGCAACCGATTAAGCTGAAATTTCGCAAACACATGTGATTTGGATGACCATGCAATATTATGATGACATGGAGCTGATCTGATGATGGAGCTGGAAGGTGGCCATAGGAACTCTATAATAAAACAACTTAAATGCATCGAGTTTGGGCTCGTTCGTTTTGTATTGATGAGTATTTTAATTCTATATAGTAATCGGGGTCTAATGATGGAGCTGGAAGGTAATTCGCAATAAAACGACACAATCGCATCAAGTTTGGGTTTGGTTCAATTTTAATTTCTGTGATGGGTCTGGGTGTTAATATGTATAATAAGTTTGTATTTACAAAAAAAAAACACAGAATAAGTAATAGTACAGGTACAGAAGGATTACTCCGCAAGACGATTTAAATAAATGCGAGTCTTGCTACGACGCGATACAGTGGAATTCAGCTCGCACAGCACTACGTACCTACAATTTTATTCACCTACAAGTTTTGTCTCTTTCTATCGCGTGTCTCTGAACTCTTCTTACGCTGTTAGGGTTGCTGTCTAGTGAAAAAATAATTAATCTACTTATTTGTAATGAGGTACGTATGTAGGTAAGTATGCATTCATTATGGAAAACCTGCATAGTAGGTTAGGTTCCTATACTATCCTAAGAATTATTGATTAACTACATGGCCAACATACCTTTCAGCATCTTTGGGAAGCGAAAAAAAAAGATAAATCCGGTAGATTACTTTTCGAATTTAAACACCCGAACGCCGCACAATATTTCTTTCTCTTTATGTCCATTTTTAAATAATACTTCGATCATAGAATTATAATCATACTACAACGCACGCCAGCGTCCTGACGAGCGAGCGCGTGACACTCGACTGATATAATACCCGCCGGCGGGGCGCTTCGCTGTAGGTAATTATCGGATGTACCGCGCGGAGTGAGCCAGGCCTGCTACTGGGTATTTTTGAATGAAATAAAAACTAATGTATTTGTAAATGTAAAAGCTTAACTGTAACATAGGTTTCAAGTGATTTTGCATACCTAGTAACATTCTCAATTGTTATTTTCTTAAATGTTAATATAATCTATCTATTTATAACATAGACCATTGTATGGGGTGGAGGGTTGGTAACCTGAGACACAGGAATCTTCCTAGTTCAGGTATCAACCCACCAACATTCTTACTTTGTTTTTCCTGATTGTTTGTTACATAATATTATCTGTTATGTTGGTGAGAAATAAACATTACTTTACTTTACTTTACTTTACTTTACTTGTTGACAAAATGGAGTTGGGCCAACATTTAGAACTGGGCTTAGGCTGTTCTGTGCTGCGCTATTGATATCCCCAAACCCAAAAGCCTATTTACATTTCTCAACGATTCCATTCCAGGTTGCTGGCACTCGTCACAGCGGGATGGCCGGAACACATGTGACAAGTGCACGCCCATCGACCAGATGCCGGGCACCAAGTTCTGTTGCTGCACCAGAGAGTTCTGCAACGCTGACTTCTGTGAGTTAACAAGTGTATGACACAGCAGTACTATTCAAATGCCGAAAAGTTAAAAGCTTTTTAGTAATGTTTTCTTTAACCGAGAATAGAAATACACATTAATTTGAGAAGCATTTTTATGTACCACAATGTAGAATGCTCTTACCAATTTGTCTAATTTGTCGTTTAATTCTATCTCAAGTTTCGCGCAAATGAGCCAACAGTGGCTACCGGATTTACAGGATTTGCGTTTACAGGATTTTTAACGCATTTAGTTAGTATGTACATTTATCATGTTACATGCGTAGAAACTGGTGTCCACTCGCGAAATGTCTGTGACATGTCACTGGTGACATCTGGTGGCGGCCACTCAATAGAAATCGAAACGATAGCTCTCATTGGATCAGCTACAAATGAAAACTTCGTTTGAACTGTACCATCGGTGGCTTTGGTTAGTGGCCCGTATTCGCTACACCCTGTATGTATAGTATACTATATCTTTCCAAAATATTGTCCCCAGTGTCCCTCAAAGAAGAATCAGTGACGATCAAAGCGGAGTCCACAATGGACGCTCCGCCACTCTCCGCTCGGTACTCGGCTTTAGCGGCGCCGGTGTTATTGGTGCTTGCCGCTATACTGGTGAAGGCGCTGGTGCTGCGAAGGCTTTATTGCAATCGCACCCCGCCCCAAGACGACCAGCCGGACACCGAGAAAGGTCAGTTTCTTTTATAAGATAGCTATATCCCTCTCGCACTTCGGCTGTTTCTCGCTCGCACATTCTTCCGAGCGACAAAACGCTCAGCTGGTCACCGAGAAAGGTGTGTGACCTGTTTTTTTCCCTTTCGCACTTCAGCTGTCACTCGCTCGCACAATCTTCCGAGAGAGAAAACGCTCAGCTGGTCGCCGAGAAAGGTCAGTGACCTGTATTTGTCCCTCTCGCACTTCGGCTGTCTCCCGCTCGCACGATCATTCAAGCGGCATTACTAGTACCAAAGGTCAGTTATTTATCATGATTTCTCTTTCTACAACTGTCATTCATTCATAGATACAGTGTCTTGAATCAATGGCAGTTCGAATTGTAATAGATCTTCCTTAGAAAAGTATGTAAGCGATAAAGGTCAGTGACCTGTTTTTGTCCCGCTCGCACGATCTTTCAAGAGGCAATAATAGTGCTAAATCAGTTATTTTATTGAATTAATAAATAACATAAGTCTTGTATGTATTGTTTACAGGTGAAGTGATGGGCAGCGGTCCGGACGCCTTGGCAACCGGTTTGCTGTGTGTCGACAATCTCACACTCATCGAACATATTGGTAAGTACACACTATCTGAGGGATAGACAAGTAACAAAAGTGGCGCGGGGAGTTAGATCCGATCAATCCGAGCGTCATTATTGTAATGTGCGTGTGCTAATTCATTTAAAAATCATGGATATTTAGCGTGTACCGATAACACTCAAACATTAGCGGAGGAATGGTGGGGCGCGTCTTCGTGGATGACACGATCTATAGTAATTATTCCCACCTCTCGTTCCCACCGCTGCAACTCCTGTGTAGCCAGGATCTACAGCTTGACCGCCAACAACCCAACCAGTGAAGATCAAGTTTGTCCCGGGGGAAAGTTAAATTGTCATTGGATCCGCAACGAAATTAATCAGAAGAACATAGGAGTTCGAAATTAAGGACCTGCATTACTCTGATGAGATTACAACAAAAAAGAACTTTAGTTGTAAGGAATAGAGTTCATATTTATGTATTAATAATGATGATGTTTTCCAGGCCAAGGCAAGTTCGGATCTGTATGGCGCGGAACCCTAGGTTCGACTCCCGTAGCGGTCAAATTGTACTCGAACGCGGGCGCGTGGCAGAAAGAGGCAGCGATATACGCGCTGCCGCATTTGTCTCACTCTAACTTGCTGTTGTATTACGGTAAGAATAATTATGAAGTGTTTATTGTTGTTTTTGAAGCCTTTTCCTTCACCAGGGGGCTTAATGTGAGTTGAGTTTATATCAAACGTATTTGATGTCGACTGCGTAAAAAAAAATTAAACTAGCTTTCCGCCCGCGGCTTCACGCGCATGGAATTTTGTCTGTCACAGAAAAACTTTATCGCGTGCGTTTCAAAAACCGGGACAAAAACTATCCTACGTCCTTTCCCGGGACTTAAACTATCTCTATGCCAAATTACATCAAAATCGGTTCAGTGGCATAGGCGTGAAAGCAAGACAGACAGACAGACCAGAGTTACTTTCGCATTTATAATATTAGTATAGATGTATGACGGATTGTACAACGCCTCTAGCGGAAACTTTCAAGAACTAAAATCTTCATAGACTTGACGCACTCGATATCGAATACGTTTGATATAAACTCACACTAAGCCCCCAGATCGTAGGCCTAGGATGCGCGCCTCTCTATTGTGCCATCATATTGATATAACGCGATAAGCCCATACATTTGTCGTCCAAAATCAATGATAAGATTTTACCACCACGTGCATCCTAGTCCGGCACGTCTCCGTTTCTCCATCAGTGACGTCATTTGGCTGAAACAAATGAAAAGTAAAACAAAAAGTATTAAAACCTTGTTGTTTTCACAGGCAGCGACACCCGAGCGACACTAACCGAAGGTGGTGGCCGAGAACATTTACTGGTCCTAGAGCTATGCTGGGGCACGTTGCGAGCACGACTCGAGCGCGCGCCGATATCGTGGGCGGAGTTCGCGGCTATAGCGCACGGCGTCGCCGCAGCGCTGGCACATTTGCACACACCTAGTAAGTATTTAGGGTCCTAAGAGGGGCTTGCTGGGTCATAAGTAGGGCTAGCTGGGTCCTAAGTAGGGCTAGCTGGGTCCTAATGGGGCTAGCCGGGTTTTAAGCAGGGTTAGACGGGGCCTAAGCGGGGTGAGCTGGGTCCTAAGTAGGGCTAGCTGGGTCCTAAGTAGGGCTAGCTGGGTCCTAAGTGGGGTAGCCGGGTCCTTAGTGGGTATATACGGGTCCTAAGCGGGGCTAGCTGGGTCCTAAGTGGGATTAGCCGGGTCCTATGACTCCTAAGTGGGGTCTTGAGAGGGGCCTGGGAGCATCTACTGGTCCTAGAGCTATGCTGGGGCACGCTACGAGCACGACTCGAGCGCGCTCCGATATCGTGGGCGGAGTTCGCGGCTATAGCGCACGGCGTCGCCGCAGCGCTGGCACATTTGCATACGCCCAGTAAGTATCTAGTGGAGTTAGGTGGTCCTAAATGATGTCTTAAGCGGGGTATCCGGGCCTTAAGTGGGGCTAGCTGGGTTCTAAGCGGGGTTTCCGGGTCTTAAGTGGGGCTAGACGGGTCCTAGCTAAGCTAGCCGGGTCCTAAGCGGGGCTAGAGCGGCCCTGAGAACATCTACTGGTCCTAGAGCTATGCTGGGGCACGTTACGAGCACGGCTCGAGCGCGCTCCGATATCGTGGGCGGAGTTCGCGGCTATAGCGCACGGCGTCGCCGCAGCGCTGGCACATTTGCACACGCCCAGTAAGTATAGCGGGGCTAGTAGGGTCCTAAGCGGGGCTAGCTGGGTACTATGTAGGGTAACCGGGTCTTAAACGGGGCTAGCGGGGTTAGGTGGGTCTTAAGCGTGGTTGGCTGGGTCCTAAGTGGGGCTAGCTAGGTCCTAAGCGGGATTAGCCGGGTCCTAAGACTCCTAAGAAGGGATAGCTTGGTCCTGAGAGGGGCCTGGGAGCATCTACTGGTCCTAGAGCCATGCTGGGGCTAGATGGGTCCTAAGTGGGCTAGCCGGGTCCTAAGTGGGGTAACCAGGTCCTAAGTGATGCTAAGCGGGGCTAGCCGAGTCCTAAGTTGGGCTATCCAGGTCTTAAGGGGGACTAGCCTGGTTCTAAGCGAGGCTAGCCGGACTAAAGCGTGGCCGAGAGCATCTACTGGTCCTAGAGCTATGCTGGGGCACGTTGCGAGCACGACTCGAGCGCGCTCCGATATCGTGGGCGGAGTTCGCGGCTATAGCGCACGGCGTCGCCGCAGCGCTGGCACATTTGCACACGCCCAGTAAGTAGATAGGGGGCTGAAGATGGGTTGGCAGATCCTAAGAGGGGCTAGAGGGTTCCTAAGCGAGGCTAGGTAGGTCCTAAGGTGGTTGCCGGGTCCTAAAGAGGGTAGCCGAGTGTTAAGAGGGATAGCCGTATCCTAAGGGGGATAGCCGAGTCATTGGGGGGATAACCGAGTCCTATGTAGGGATAGCCGATTCCTAAGGGGGATATCCGGGTCTTAAGGTGTCCAGAATCAAACATGGACAAATCAGATTGTTAGTCTGAATCACCCACACTGAGGGCGCTTTCGCAAGGCGTTTTGAAACGGAAGTTAAACGTGCGATTTCAAGACCGCACACTGTAGGTATAATGGATTGTCATTTTTATTCCAACGCATTCGTCTTACAATTTTCAGTGTGTGGTCCTGCAAACGGACGACAATTAACGTTCTTCTCAAAACGTGTAATTTGAAAGAGTTCAAAAAATTATAAACAAAAATATTTATTCAGTTTAGACCACAAGAAAAGGTAGCCCTTATGGGGCACTTTACATGTCTCCTTATCTTTTGGGCCCTACCAGCGCTTCGAGACAAACATATGGCAAGTGCTGAGAATAAACGCCGGAACAAACTCTAATAAATAATATTTTGCAAAAGTTCTAATAAATAATATTTTGTTACAGCGGCCAGCAAGCCGTGTGTGGTGCACCGAGACGTGAACAGCAACAACGTGCTGATCTCCAGCGACGGGCAGCCGCGTTTGGCTGACTTGGGGTTAGCTCAGATACTGCACCCGAGGAGAGAGACGCCTAGCAGGATCACTGAGGTGAGACAATAATCTACAAGTCATTTAGTCTTCAGAGAAATGATCATCAGTTCATTTAGTGTCCACTGCAGGAGCACGCCTCTCTAATTACTCAGAGGCGTTTCACGGGATGATTTCTGGATAACGTAGGACTGCAGGTCGTTTTTAGCCATCGCCTTTCTATCTCCGAACAACAAGACCACTTTTACATGTTAAATGTAGTCCCCTAGCTAGACAAGTGACACTTTTTGATGGCTCCGAAAATCGAATCCATGAAGCGACGTAACAATACACAAAATAGCCGGAGCGGAATCCTTTCGAAATCACAACTGTCCATTTGACAGTGACAGTGTCAAGTTTTGGCACTTGCCTAGAGGGACTCAAGCGCTATGCTGCATCTTTATAATGCCTCTGCCAACTGGAATTCCTGAAATTATACAGTCAGCGTCCAATAGTTCGTGACACCCAAAGTGGCCAAAAAGTTGAAAACACAACCTTATTCCAATTGTAATAAAGAACTTTTTGGCTACTTTGGGTGTGCAAGAGGTGAAGAGTGAATCTTGTGGGTAAACCATGCGTGGTGCATCGCGACGTGAACAGCAACAACGTGCTGGTCTCCAGCGACGGGCAGCCACGTTTGGCTGACTTGGGGTTAGCTCAGATATTGCACCCGAGGAGAGAGACGCCTAGCAGGATCACTGAGGTGAGGAATGACCATCAGTTCATTTAGTGTCCACTGCAGAAGCACGGCCCTCTAATTCACCTGAGACAAATGGAGGATTTGGCCTACGAGCGATAGATAGTTTTGGCCGAGTTGGGGCTCGCTCAGCGAGAGAGACCCCTAGCAGGATTACTGAGGTGAGACACAGAAGGGCTAGTAATTTTGTTTTTAGGAAAAAAAGGAGCCTCGCCTTTTTATCTTCGAACAACAAGACGCACTGCTGGATACCCTTACATGGTGAGCATACAAGCCCCTCTAGAAGTGACACTCTTTTTTCGCTCCGAAAATTGAAACCCTTCCCGGCGCGCGTCCTGTCATTAGCCGCGCGTCCCGTCATTGGTCGCGCGTCCTCTCATTGGTCGCATGTCCTTTCATTGGTCGCGCGTCCTGTCATTGGTATACTTTGGGTACGCAAGAGGTGAAGTGTGAATCCTCTGGGTAAACCATGCGTGGTGCATCGCGACGTGAACAGCAACAACGTGCTGATCTCCAGCGACGGGCAGCCGCGTTTGGCTGACTTGGGGTTAGCTCAGATACTGCACCCGAGGAGAGAGACGCCTAGCAGGATCACTGAGGTGAGAAACTGTCATCAGCAAGTCATTTCAAGTCTAGTCAAGTTCAGGAGGACGACCCCACTCTAATTCCTTAGAGGCGTTCCACGGGATGAATTTCTGGATAACGTAGGACTGCAGGTCGTTTTTAGCCATCACCTTTCTATCTTCCAACAACAAGACCACCTTTACATGTTAAATGTAGGCCCCTAGCTAGACAAGAGACACTTTTTGATCGCTCGAAAATTGAATCGAAATTTTGGCACTTGTCTAGAGGGACTCAAGCGCTATGCTGCATCTTTATAATGCCTCTGCCAACTGGAATTCCTGAAATTATACAGTCAGCGTCAAACAGTGACACCCAAACTGGCCAAAAAGTTGAAAACACAACCTTATTCCAATTGTAATAAAGAACTTTTTGGCTTCTTTGGGTGTGCAAGAGGTGAAGAGTGAATCCTCTGGGTAAACCATCCGTGGTGCATCGTGACGTGAACAGCAACAACGTGCTGATCTCCAGCGACGGGCAGCCGCGTTTGGCTGACTTGGGGTTAGCTCAGATACTGCACCCGAGGAGAGAGACGCCTAGCAGGATCACTGAGGTGAGGAATGACCATCAGTTCATTTAGTGTCCACTGCAGGAGAACCACCCTCTCTAATTCCTCAGAGACGTTCCACGGGTTGAATTTCTGGATGACGTAAGACTCCGAGGAGAGAGACCCCTAGCAGGATTACTGAGGTAAAAAACAGAAGGGCTTGTCATTTTGTTTTTAGGAAGAAAAGGAGCCTCTCCTAACAACAAGACGTGCTGCAGGATACTACCCTTGCATGGTATGCATATGTACGAGCCCCTCTAGAAGTGACACTCTTTGTTCGCTCCGAAAATCAAATACATTATCGCGAGTGAAGTAACAATACACAAAAACGCCGGAGCGATGGCTTTTCGATATCACAACTGTCAATTTGACAGTGACAGTGTCAAGTTTTGCCACTTGTCTAGAGCCTGCTATAAAATCGATACACAATTCAATTACGAAGTAACACTAATAGACAATTATTGTTTTCTCAGGCTGGAACGCTCCGCTACTTAGCGCCCGAAGCCCTAGAAGGGGCGTTAGACCTAAGCGGCGCCCGCGCAGCGCTATGCGCAGTAGATGTCTTTGCATTGGACCTGGTGCTGTGGGAGGCTCTGTGGCTTACTTAGGAGTCGCTGTAGTTTTCAATCTGGGCATTGAAGTTCTAAGTTTCTGGATCCATATAAAACCTCCCGATGGGGGGGAAATTTTACATCGCAAGATCTTTTGAACTACCGATTCGCTATCGATATGTATGCGGCTAAAGCCTGGTCCGTGAGCACGTAGAATCCCGTCCAATGACCCCAAGCTACCCATCCCTAACGCTCGCGCGTAATTATGTTGCTGTCGCGACTGTGCGACTTGCGCCCGCAGTGAGTGTGCGAGCGCGACAGAAACATAATTACGCGCGAGCGATAGGGATGGGTAGCTTGGGGTCATTGGACGGGATTCTACGTGCTCACGGACCAGGCTTTACACATATTTGGTTTTATTTTAGTATTTATTTCTTTCTTTCTTCAATCAGGCTGGAACGCTCCGCTACTTAGCGCCCGAAGCCCTAGAGGGTGCATTGGACCTAAGCGGCGCCCGAGCAGCGCTATGCGCAGTAGATGTGTTTGCACTGGGCCTGGTGCTGTGGGAGGCTCTGTGGCGCTGCCGCGGCGCGCACCCCGGCCTGCCGCCGCCCTACGCGCCGCCCTACCAGCACCACGGCCTGCCGCCGCGACCTACTCTACAACATATGCAGGTACTGTCAGTAGCCCGGTCTCCCCTAGTACCCCAACCTCCCCTAGTAACCCGACTTCCCCTCGCCCCCTAGTACCCTGGTCTCCCTTAGTACCCCAACCTCCCCTAGTACCCCAGTCTCCCCTCGCCTCTAGTACCCCAACCTCCCCTCGCCCCCTAGTACCCCAACCTCCCCTCGTTCCCTAGTACCCCGACCTGCCCTCGCCCCTAGTACCCCAACCTCCTCTAGTACCCTGGTCTCCCTTAGTACCCCANCCCCGCGCCCCCCCCCCCCCCCCCTCCCCCCACCCCGCCCCGCTCCCTAGTCCCCCGGTCTACCCTCGCCCCTAGTACCCCAACCTCCCCTAGTACCCCACCCTCCCCTCGCCCCTAGTACCCCAACCTCCCCTCGCCCCCTAGTACCCCGGTCTACCCTCGCTCCCTAGTACCCTAGCACCCCGGTCTCCCCTAGTGCCCCAACCTCCCTTCATCCCCTAGTAAGTATCCCGGCCTCCTCTCGCCCCCTAGTACCCGACTTCCCCTAGTACCCCAACCTCCCCTCGTTCCCTAGTACCCCGGCCTCCCCTAGTACCCCAGCCTCTCCTAGTACTCTAACCTCCCTCCGTCCCTTAGTAAGTACCCCGACCTTTCCGAAGCCTTAAAAGGAGCCTTAGACCTAAGCGGCGCCCGCGCAGCGCTATGCGCAGTGCTATGCGCAGTGCTATGCGCAGTAGATGTGTTCGCGCTGGGCCTGGTGCTGTGGGAGGCTCTGTGGCGCTGCCGCGGCGCGCACCCCGGCCTGCCGCCGCCCTACGCGCCGCCCTACCGGCACCACGGCCTGCCGCCGCGACCCTCGCTGCAGCATATGCAGGTAATATTAATAGCCCGGTCTCCCCCTCGCGCCCTAGTAAGTATTACCCCCTAGTAACCCCAACCTACCCAAGTACCCCAACCTCCCCTCGCCCCCTAGTAACCAAACCTCCCCTCGCCCCCTAGTAACCAAACCTCCCTTCGTCCCCTAATACCCCAACCTCCCCTCGTCCCATAGTAAGTACCCCAACCTCCCCTCGCCCTCTTGTACCCCAACCTCCCCTCACCCATAGTACCCCGGTCTCCCCTCGCCCCCTAGTACCCCGGCCTCCCCTCGCCCTCTAGTACTCCGACCTTTCTAAGTACACCGGTCTCCCCTAATACTCCAACCTCCCCTAATACCCCAACATCCCCTAGTACCCCAACCTCCCCTCGCTCCTAGTAAGTATCCCAACCTCCATTCGTCCCCTAGTAAGTACCCCGACCTGTCCGAAGCATTAAAAGAAGCCTTAGACCTAAGCGGCTCCCGCGCAGCGCTATGCGCAGTGCTATGCGCAGTAGACGTGTTCGCGCTGGGCCTGGTGCTGTGGGAGGCTCTGTGGCCGCCGCGACACACACTTCAGCATATGCAGGTACTTTCAATAGCCCGGTCTCCCCTAGTACCCCGAAGTACCCCAAAATCCCATCGTTCCCTAGTACCCCGGTCTCCCCTTGTCCCTAATACCCCGACCTCCCCTCGCCCCTTAGTTCCTCAACATCCTCTAGTACCCCGGCCTCCCCTCGCCTCCTAGTAAGTACCCTGGCCTCCCCTCGCCCCTAGTACCCCACCCTCCCCTCGCCGATAGTACCCCCACCTCCCCTCGCCCATAGTACCCCAACCTCCCCTCCCCTAGTACCCCGACCTCCCCTAGTACTCTGGTCTCCTCCTAGTATCACGGCCTGCCGCCGCCCTACGCGCCGCCCTACCAGCACCACGGCCTGCCGCCGCGCCCTACCCTACAGCATATGCAGGTATTGTCAGTAGCCCGGTCTCCCCTAGTACCACGACCTCCCCTCGTTCCCTAGTACCCCGGTCTCCCCTAGTACCCCAACCTCCCCTCGCCCCCTAGTACCCCAACCTCCCCTCGCCACTTAGTGCCCCTACCTCCCCTTGCCTTCAACCCCAGCCGGGCCTTCCCTGCTCATACATTATAATGGTCCTTCGTGCCGGATGCATATGAAACTATTCGACGTGCTTTCTTTCATCAATATTAACTTCAAATTCAACTATTGTGTATGGAAGCTTGTTACCTACCTAAAATTTGATTTTAATTATGTACCTACATCCGTTTCAAAATACTCGCATACTACTACAGAAAGATTCTAGCCACGTATCCTTAACGAAAATGAACCCTATCCCCTTATTAACAGACGCTAGTATCGCGCAACAAGGTACGCCCGCGCACGCCTCTACCAAAAAGTAAAAACCCATAATATCACTGGAAATTAATGATCAAATTGAAGTCCAAATACTGGCCAGCAAAAAATATTTTCAGAAAATGAAAAACATTAACATTGCATTTCAAACAAAATTGAACCTAATATTCTTGTCGACAGACGCTAGTATCCCGCAACAAGGCGCGCCCGCCTCTACCAAAAGGCCCGGTACCAGAAGCAAGAGCTCTGAAGATCGCCAACGATACGTGCGACGAATGCTGGGACCACGATGCTGAAGCCAGGTGAGTATTTGTCCATTTTGAGCCGTATTGCAACGAGATAAGGTTTTTTTTATTTATTTTTTTATCCACAACGAGGAAGCTCTTGGCCTGTATCTCACCTGATGGTAAGTGACGATCAGGCCGAAGGTGGAAGCGAGCTTCACCCGGAATCCTCAACCACGGAGGAACTGGCTATCTTACCTCTAACTGCCGGAACACAACAATGCTGTTAACATTGTTGTTATGGCGACAGACTTAGGTAAGATGGTGGTAGCTAGCCAGGCAGACTTAGAACAAGCCCTACCACCAACCAAACCGAACAGAAAAATCTGCCCCCACTGGGAATCGAACCCGGGACCTCTGCGTCTGAAGCAGGTAGTCTTACCACTAGACCACAGAGGTGGTTGCGTATTAAGGTGTAACCAGTCGACTTATGGTTCGGGAACGTGGCCTCTCACTATAGGCCTTATACAGAAGCTCAAAGCACAGCGTGCTATGGAGAGGGCTATGCTCGGTGTTTCTTTACGAGATCGAATCAGAAATGAGGAGATCCGTAAACGAACTAAAGTCGCTGACATAGCCCGACGGATTAGCAAGCTGAAGTGGCAATGGGCAGGGCACATAGTACGCAGAACTGACGGCCGATGGGGCAGCAAGGTTCTGAAATGAAGGCGGCGTACCGGAAACCGCAGCGCGGGACCACCCACAAGGTGGACCGACGACCTGATAAAGGTAGCAGGAAGGCGTTAGATGCAGGCCGCTACCAACGTGCGATGTGGAAGTCATTGGGGGAGGCCTATGTTCAGCAGTGGATGTCCTGTGGCTGAAATGATTATAACATAAATATGGATAGATTTTTTTCCAATTTTTTGCTAGCTAAGCAAAAATCTTGGTCTGCAAAGGCAAACCGTATTAATAGTCCGTTCGCCGAGCACGTAGAATTTCGTCCAATGACCCCAAGCTACCCATACTTTTCTCTCGCGTGTAATTATATTGCTGTCGCGACTGTGCGACGGGCACCCGCAGTGAGTGTGCGAGCGTAACAGCAACATAATTACGCGCGAGCGATAAGGATGGGGTCATTGGACGAAATTCTACGTGCTCGGCGACCGGGCTTTAGTACATTTTAATAACAAATTCATATTTGTACACAGATTAACCGCGGTATGCGTGGAGGAGCGAATGGCTGAACTGAAACAGATGCTACAAGCTCCGGGGCCCGTCATACACGACAACAATCTACATCCGCACCCACCAGGTAACAAATAAAATTAGATAAAGTACTACCATATAGGCATTGGTTTTAAAATTGTTTTAATTTCTGTTCATAATTTATTCCTCCTTATAATAAAAAGTTACACCTAGGATGAACCTTTGATTAAATTGACATTTCAATACTAAATGACAATTTAAGCCAAAGTTCAACTAGGGTGTAACTTTTATTGATTATGTTTATCACAAAAACTTATTTTAAGTTAGCGCCATCTATTGACAGAATTGATTGAGATTTTTTTGACTCAGTAACTTTATCATTACTCATAACACTAAATGGGTGGTTCTACTTTTAGAGTCCATCACAAAAATAAGGTTGTCCCCACAATAACGAAGGCTAATACTTAATACAAAATGAAGAAACTATCATTTATTTTATTTAAATAAAGTTAATAACACCTGTTTAGATTATCTAGTGTTAATTGTGAAAAATATAAAACGTTAAAATAGCGGTATCGTTATAGCCAATGAGTTGCTGTCATAGTGACATTGACAATACGTCAATGTCACACTAGGATCAAACGTCAAAATAGAGGGACGATGATGAAATAGATTCTGCCGTCGGTGGTTGAAGGATCCGCGTCGTTGCGATACTTTCAGTCACTATTTGTGGGATTTTCTCTTTCGTTTTGAGTTTTTATTGTGTGTGGGTGGTGGCTAGCCAGGTAAGTACTTACTAACATCTTGTTTGTCTCGTATTAGTTTTATTAAAACCGATTTTGGTCGTTGTACAATGAGCGTCCTCACGCCGGAGCCACCGGACCCTCCGGATGAAGACATGTTGTCGCCACCCGTTTTTTCCTCTGTAAGCCAAGCCAATAGGAAACATAAACTTCCTTCGGAAGTACCAAATTCTACGACGAGCGTAGATAAAAGAACAAGGGGAACGGGAGATGTGGATCCCTCGGCTTCGCAACAATCTATCTACACGCATCCCAGTTTCTTGGAATCCCGTACATACACCAGTGATGACCNTCAAAATGTAACTCGCCCTTGATTCTTAATATAAAGGATTATTTATATAAATGTTACTGTGAGAATATCCAAGTTACTCTCGCTTGGATCCCAGGACATAGCGGTATTCGTGGCAACGAGCAGGTGGATTCATGGGCGGAGGAAGCCTGTCGTCTTGGCTCATCACGACAATCTAATNCATAAATATGTCGCAGGCAAATTGTATGATTCCGCATTTTACAAACGGCGTCGTCAGTTTACAAACGCTCGCTGTTCTATGAAATGCCGAAGGCAAATTGGCGACTCGTTCAATTGATAAAATTTCGACTATGATTGTTGCAATAGGGTGACCATCATAAAACACATGTTGGACAAATCAGACTTAAATTCAGAAATCAGGTAGGTATCTATTCAGGTAAGACAAACCTAAAATACTAGCTACTCCTAAAGTAATTAAAATATTTTCGTAATAAAAACAACACTAAACTAATTTAAACTATTGACGTACGTACCTATAGGTAAAACTCTGACACAAAATAAGTTTCGATAGTCAGTCCTTTAATTCTTACATTTTAATTATACCTAGAAGAAGTCTAGAAGACAACACAATATTTTTTTAAACCAATAATTTGCCGTTTACGTATTGGCCATGCTTGCACACCAAAATTTTTACATAAAATTAAAGACAGTCCTTTTTGTGATTGTGGTACAGATGAGGGTACTACTGACCACATATTCTTCAACTGTCCGAAATATCCAATCTCATTGTACGACGTCCTTCCCTTAAAATATCCCCGTCCTCTAAACTTCCATTATCTACTAACAATATCCTCAAGTATTAAATATATAAGTAAATATTGTTCTGTGTATAACATTAAATTTTAACTTCCCCTTTCCCAATAACTTTGTTTGTGATGTACGTGTACGTTTGCAATGTGTTGTTTTGTTTTAGGTGGCGAGTTTTATGTTAAAGACTCTAAACAATTAAGTTCTCGAGATAAATAAATACCCACTCAATAAATACCGGCCAATAATCAGAAGTCACGTGTATCTCTCTAACTACTTGACATTGGCAGAATCACTGCGTGGCGCCCTGCGCGCTTCAGCGGGACAGTCCATCCCAAAAAAAAAAAANTATGAAGATGTGCAGGGTGCACCTTTTTATTGAAATTGAAACAGCCCAACAGTTTTTTAGATGGTCTACCTGAACTACTAATATTACTTGATAATAACAATTAATATCTTTCACTCTTATTACAATGCTCAAAACTACACTTGATTGAAGCTCAATGAAAACAATTACTGCTATGAGTATATCCTAACAAATTGTATTATTATTTCACAATCTGATTGAGTTCAATATTGTTCCAGTACTTAGCAGCTGCGTACCCAAACAAGTGCGGGTGGTGCGTGCGCTGGTATGATGAGCTGTACCTTCTCTTTGACTGCTGTCTGCAGTACCACTACCTCAAACATTATGGTAAGATGGAGTTACTTGTATAAGTATACTAGCTTACCGCCCGTGGCTTCGACCCGTGAAAAAAGGGCAATTTTCAGGCTTTTCCTGGAGAAAACTTCAACGAACATTTAAAAAACTTGGTAAAATTGGTCCAGGTGTTTTTGAGTGCACTTACCAACACATTTTGCGATTCATTTTTACAAGCTTTTTATTACTTTCACATGTCTGGTGTCTGTCGTCAAATCTTGCAACTTAAAATTGACCCACTTCCCGGTTTCCTATTAATTGAGCTGAAATTTTGCATACATGTGTAAGTCCGATGACAATGCAATATTATGGTACCATTGAGCTGGTCTGATGATGGAGTCGGGAGGTGGCCATAGGAACTCCTAAACAAAACGGCGGAAACTCATCGAGTTTGGGTTCGTTGGATTTGTCTTTTCGAGCACTTTAGTGTTAGATAACGTCCAGGGTCCTGAGATTAAGATATAACTAAAAAGTGTAAAATAAAATTATAATAAAAATAAACTTTTTTAAAAACAAGCTTTTATTCTGAATTTCGAAAGCTTGTAGCGCAAACAGAGAAAAAGAGGAATAAATTCCATGCGCGATACAAACTTTCGAAATTCAGAATAAAAGCTTGTTTTTAAAAAAGTTTATTTTTATTATAATTTACATATATTGTAGGTAACATAGTTTTATAAGCTTGTAACAAGACATCTAGAAAAGATTCATTTTGTAAAATTACATCTGGAGAAGATTTAACAGTATTTCTAGTAGATTGAAGACTTTCTGCCTGTCTCATTCACCACATTTCTCTCATGTACTTCCAGCGGCCTCATTCTCGGAGAGCTTCTACGGCCTGCTGCGGGTGCCAGTGTCCTTCAGCTCAGAGTTGACTCCGCAGCACAAGCGCCTGCCCTACTGGCTGGAGAAGGGCTCGCTGGCGCTGCTGGTGCTTATACCATACTTGAAGGACAAGCTGGAGAGGGTCGTCGACCGCTGGCGTGAGGACGACGAAGACGGGAGGCTTGGGAAGGTATGGCTATTGGGTTTTTCAGTTGTTATAAAGATTAATAAAAGTTTATTTATATTACACCTTTATTTTTGAAAAGTGAGGCTGCATTGAGCAATAAAAGTGGCAGCTTGGTTTTAGAATGTGGAATTTTATAATAGAAGTGTTTTTATAAAGCGACGCGATGTGTTTCAGTTAAGAAGTACAAACAGTTAACTGATTGCCCAACTAATAAACCCAATGTAATTGACATTTAAAGTAGTACAATCACCAAAATGTGTGTTTTGGAATAGCCCATCTCATTTGTACACAATTTCATTCATCATTTGAGTAAAAGGTTGCTAAATAGGGATTCCAGAATAAGTAGTCGTGTTATGTTTAAATCGAGTAAATGTAGACATATCTGAGTGGTTTATACGAGTAAGCCAACTGGACGGGCGGGAGGCAGTGGTTGTAAGGCACCGCTCCCGTGCCCGGGATATGCGGTCAGGAAGGGGACTAACTCCCTAGTGAGCCTAGAGTCCCTATTCCCTAAGACACTAAGTCCCTAGAGCCCTAGCCCTGCCTAACAATATATACTTAGACATAATAAGAGTTTGATAGGAAGGTAGCTGTGCCCAGGTCGCCCAGGGCAGCAGCGTTAGGACGGCAGGTAGGCGGCGGGGACCCGCTGCCAGCCCGGCAGACTCACCGGACTGATCATAGCGACGGCTAAGGGTGTCTTGGCCGCAGCGGGGGGAAATGAGACACAACGACGGACGGTTGATATCTGGTTTATTGGTATTATGTTATGCTATTTATACATGGTTTATTGTTTGTACACATTTAAAGGTATTTGTTAGTGTGCCGTCGGTGTAGAGTGCCGACGGTGCACGCTGAGGGTTCATGGGTCGCCCGGCGGTCGATGCTGACGGTGCAGCAGGATGTACGATCGTGCTCGTACACCAACTTTCTGACATTAACCCACCTCAACCAAGGCACTATTCAAAGCCAATTTACTTACTACTTCCTATGTCATTCTCAACCAGGGCACCCCGGCCAGCGTCCGACGCGCGGCCATCAAGCTCTACTCTCTCGTCCATTTCACGTGCTCGTGCGCGCGGCTCGTGCAGTGCGCGCGCTACCTGACGGGCGCGTCGCGTGCTCACGCGCCCGCTCTGGCCGCGCTAGGGCTGTCGCTGCGCGCCGCGCCGCCGCCGCCGCCGCAGGAACACACGTGGGGTGACTTGGCTAGGAGCGTCATGACTGGACAGATTGGGTGAGTTGATGCACCATGTGCCGGAAACTTTAATTTTAAGTTATCATTGTAATGTTTGTAATGGGGCCACTTTACTGAGCATGATAATTAAGCATGCTCAACACCTTGAGTCCCTAAAGGCTGATTTACACGTGTTAAAGTAGATAAGTAGGTAACTAAATTATTAAACTTAATTTGAAGTGATTAATTACGTGTAAACACACAATTTAGTAGCAAGTGGCAAGTTAAAATTTAGTTGTCAACTAAATTTAAGCGGCAAGTACTGTTTACACGCAATTAATCACTTAAAATTAAGTTAATAATTTAGTTACCTACTTATCTACTTCTATCTATCTATCTATGTCAGCCTTTGGGTTTGCCTTCGAACATAGGCCTCCTCTTCAACCCTCCACCGTTTTCTGTCCCTGGCCACACGCATCCAGTTCACTCCAGCCACAGAATAAGTAATAGTACAGGTACAGAAGGATTACTCCGCACGACGATTTAAATAAATGCGAGTCTTGCTGCGACGCGATACAGTGGAATTCAGCTCGCACAGCACTACGTACCTACAATTTTATTCACCTACAAGTTTTGTCTCTTTCTATCACGTGCCTCTGAACTCTTCTTACGCTGTTAGGGTTGCTGTCTAGTGAAAAAATAATTAATCTACTTATTTGTAATGAGGTACGTATGTAGGCAAGTAAAAATAACATTTCAAATATACCTAATTAGGATTAAAAAAACTTGTTCTATTACAATGTCTTCATTCATACCTACCTATTTTAACATAAGACAGATAAATTAAACATACTATTACAGAAAAAAAAAGAATCCTATACTATCCTAAGAATTTTATTATTTACTAGCTTTCCGCCCGCGGCTTCGCCCGCGTGGAATTTTGTCTGTCACAGAAAAACTTTATCGCGCGCGTCCCTGTTTCAAAAACCGGGATAAAAACTATCCTATGTTCTTTCCCGGGACTCAAACTATCTCTATGCCAAATTTCATCAAAATCGGTTGCGAGGTTTAAGCGGGAAAGCGTAACAGACAGACAGACAGACAGACAGACAGAGTTACTTTCGCATTTATAATATTAGTTGGAATAGTTGGAATTACGTACATGGCCAACATACCTTTCAGCATCTTTGGGAAGCGAAAAAAAAAGATAAATCCGGTAATTTCTTTTCGAATTTAAACACCCGAACGCCGCACAATATTTCTTTCTCTTTATGTCCATTTTTAAATAATACTTCGATCATAGAATTATAATCATACTAAAACGCACGCCAGCGTCCTGACGGGCGAGCGCGTGACACTCGACTGATATAATACCCGCCGGCGGGGCGCTTCGCTGTAGGTAATTATCGGATGTACCGCGCGGAGTGAGCCAGGCCTGCTCCAGCCTGCTGCCGGATATCGTCTGTCCATCGTCTTATCTTATACTTATCTACTTAACACGTGTAAATCAGCCTTAACAGAGACGCGTCACACTTAAATGTAAATTAACTTACAGCAATGGTAGGGTTGGGACGTGTAAAAGTGCTCTTTGAGAGCCTATTTGTATAAACAAACAATTTGAATTTGAACTTCACTTTTGTAATTTCCGTAAGCTAAAAACGTATCACAGTTTGTTTTTGGTTTTCATTTTACCAAGTGATCGTCCCCCCGCACATTTTTCGGTTGGCTGACTACAACCTTTTTTGAAAGCTGGATCCGCGCCTTAACCACCATACATTAAAACGTTTGTTCGCTCCAGGCAAGCCGTGGTAACGTTCCCGATGCTGGGCGGGCTGGCACTACGAGCAGTTGAGTACGGCGCCTTCGGCGTGCAGTTCCTCCGCTGGTGGGACTCCGCGCACCACCACTCGGAAGCGCTGCCCGCGCCGCCGCCGCCGCTGGTAACCATCCATCAGGGTTGCATGATTTATTCACGCATTTTATTGAATTATTTTCTTTAAATAAAAAAAAAAAATGTTTATTTGGCACAACACATTAAAATTACAATCACTTTAATCACTGATTTAAATCAATGACCGAAAATGGAATTAATGAAAGCCTGGGAGTTTATATTAATCAACTGTAATGTTCGAAAACAATGTTAATATTAGGTATTAATGTATGAAATTGACGATTTGAATGAAGAATCTGAAAAAAAATATTTTTCCATACAAACATATTTGTGATTTTTTAGATAACCACATAATTTATTTATTTTTTGGCGGTGTTACCAGCTCTATACATCAATTCTACGTAAATGAAAATGTTTTCCGTAAAAAAATCTAAAGGAATGATAGCAAAACTAAATAAAAAAAAACAAATTAATAAAAAAAAATCTTTATCGTGATTTAAAAAAATGTGATTATTTTGATTGAAAAAAAAATCATGATTTTTTCCACCCTGACCATCATACATACAGGGTGGAAACGACAAGTGATCTCACTCGATTATTTCTAAACTATACAAGATATCAAAAAACTAGTTACTGATCCTGAAAGTGTTTCATGAGCTCTATCAAACGGTATTAATAATAGGTTAAATAATAAACTGGATCTATCCGGAAATTCGTAAAATCTCTAAAGATATCGTAAAACTGGTTAATGATCCTAAAAGCGCTTCACAAGCTCTATCCAATAGTATTAATTTTAATAGTGCCAGAATAAACTGGATCTATCTAAAAATTCAATGTTTCCATCTTCCATACATTTAGTACTATCACAGATATGGCACTCATCTCTTGATAATATTATAGCAAATAAAGCCTAAAACTAATGTAAATAATTTTAATAAGGTACCTTACCCCTAAATGTTGAATTACAGAAAGAAGAACGCCACGAGAGGTTAAAAAACAAATGCCCGATCTGTCTGAGGACGTGGAAGATTCCTACGGTGCTGCCAGTGTCCGGGTAAGATTATTTTTAGTGATGGGCCGACTATGGTCTTTGCCGACTAACCGACTAGTATAGTCGGCTTTCCCGACTAGTCGGCCCATCTCTAATTATTTTTATTCCTTTGATCCGTTTGAGTGTCTACATTTTTTAGATTGCTAACCCATTTGGCCAGCGTAAGGCCCGGTTTCCACTAAGGCGGAGAGGATATATTTTTTTTAATTCAAGTTACTGCAATTAAAAATCATTAAAAAAAACTCATTAAAACTCATTTATTTCTGTAAATAGGCTTAAAAAAAGCACTTTTACACGTCCCAGTATTAACCCTACCACTGCTTCAGGACAATGGAGTGAGACTTAATGACCTGATGAAATCTTGAAATGAGCCCCTTACCAAATATGTAGTATTTGCCCGCGGCTTCACCCGCGTGAAATTTAGTTTGTCACAGATCGTCATAAATTATAGCCTGTATCTTATTCTGAGTTATAAAGAATAATACTGTAAAGTTTTAACAAAATCCGTTCAGTAGTTTTTACGTGAAAGAGTAACAAACATTCAGACATTCAAACTTTCGCATTTATAATATTAAGTAGGATTATTGTCTAATCAGTGACTTGGACTCATTAAATTCATACATGCCTCTGGTTCTCAGGTACGTATTCTGCTACGTGTGCATCTCGCGGCACCTGCGTACGGACCACGCCTGCCCGCTCACGCGCTACCCGGCGCGGGAACACGACCTCGTAAGGCTCTACGTCGACTGATACTAAGGACCTCGTACGAGGCTCTACGGGCACGGCTGGTGGCTTCTATGGAGGCTTGACGTTGACTAACATGGAACTAGCTTGGGCGCTGTGAGTGGTTACATCACTTTTACGGTAGGGTAGCCTACTTATAGCAGAGTAAATATAAATGAGTAGGTCATCTTCATAGAAACATTACAACAAACATTCGGGGCAACTCCCCGCTAAATTTTGTCAGTGTGTGCGTGCGCGCCGCATACGTATTGGCACGCTCACATACAAACTGCGCTCGGTGCGTTTCTATGAAGATGACCTACTCATTTGTATTTACTCTGCTTATAGGCATTTCTACTTATTGTTTTAACAAAACTGCACCTTGCAGTAGAAAATTTGAGAAAATGTTCCCTATGTAGTAAAGTAACATTCCTCAATGAAAAAATACAGGTATTAACCTGTATTTTTTCTGTATCTTTTCGAAAAAAAATATTTCGTTTAGTTTAAGAAATAAAAGGATTATTTATCGGGTAGGTAAATGTTTGTGATAAAACGTAATCTTAAGTCAATTATTTGTTATATTATTTCAATTCGTAAGACTGAATGTGCCAGTAGAATAGAAATGATTTGCGATAAAATACTTTTTGTGACTACGGCCAGTCCACTGACTTCAATTAAAAGAGCGACGTATGGTCAATATGGTGCTTCGCGGTGCAAATTCGAATCAAGATAAAGTCAAGGTTGGTATGAATTCCACAAGTAGTTTTAAGTGGTGTCATGGAGACTTGTAATTAATAGTATGTATGTATTATTTATTCTAATATGTACCTGTTTATGTATTTGGTTCGTTATTAGGCCATAGTAAAGCTCTGCGTAGTTTGAAGCCATGCAGAATAGTTGGGAGTGATTGATCTTAGTTTATTTTTGATGTAGAATTTATGTAAATTACTCTTATTTAATAAAATCAATTAATTTATTTAAAACATACAGTTGATTTAAAATATCTTTACAGATGGATTAACATAATTATATGTTAGATATTTTGAGTACTTTCACTGCAAGGATATTTTAAGTTGACTGTTCTTTGTGGTGGGCGTGGTGATGGCGTTAGTCACAAATAAATTTAATTTAAGGTGAACTGGGACTGTAAAGTAATATTACTGAATCATTTTAAATGTACCTATGTTATTGTTCTGTAAATAAAACACATTTTCGTATAATTAACTTACTTTTATTGAATAAAAAAAGTTTACATCGTAGGATAAGTCTTTAAATATTAACTAAATAATTGTATGATACGACGGCGAGCAATAATATTGGTGATATTTTTGTCTTGTTCTTGCGTATTTAAAGTTGCGTATTTAGGTTAGTATCTGTAGTTAGTTAAGTGGTTTTATTTCTATAGTATTTTAAAGTTCAGTTAAGTCAGTGAAGTACCATAAACATGGTCCTTTAATCACTAGCGAACTTACTTATAGATGTTAGTTGTTTTTAGAACAAACAATGTTATGACTTTATACAGCTTTGAATCATTCTCGAGAATAGATTCGTATCTGTCTTAAGGTACACGTTTGTAGCGGACGACATGGAGTTATAGTCTAGTGGTTTCTATGTATTTTTATGAAATACTATTCGTAGTAAGCGACACGTCGCCTGGAAGTATTTCATAAAAATGCATAGACAGTGACGTGTCGCGGCGTCGTCGTCTGCTGCTGCTGCGTGCACTCGGCTACGAACTTGCACCTTTAAAGGCTGATTTACACGTATTAAGTAGATAACTAAATTTTAACTTGATTTTTCTGTCAAGTTGGTGGACGGGGCATGTCACTTGACACGATTTGACAAGCAGTTTCATAGTAAACAAGAGCTTTGACGTTTGGAATTAAGTTAAAAAGTTACGATGCAATTTGATCTGGTTTGAAACTTGTCAAACTGGTCGCGTCATGTGTGGTCTCTCAACGGATTCTATGGCAGAAACTTAGATGCAACTCAAAAGTAACTAGAAGTTGCAGTTTCGTTGCAATTGCGTTTCACCGTGTGTTCTGGGCCTTAAAATTAAGTTAAAATTTAGTTATATACTTAATACGTGTAAATCAGACTTAAAAACGTCTCAAAGTTACAAGTAATCAATATCGTTCGTGAGCACGCCTTGCAAGTAATGGTGCGCGATCTGCCGTCCGTTGCGCGCCACGAGCACGATGCGCGCGTGGGCTCCTCGCAGCAGCGCCGGCCGCGCGGGCGACGACGCGTCCACCAGCGCGGCTGGTAAAGATAGTAGGTGCTGGCGGAGCGCCTCGCGGTTTGCGAAGGCCTGCGTGCCGTAGATGAGGCCCGAGGCCGGCGCGTCGATGACCTCCCATGGTTCGCTCGTCTCGAAGTACCCGCCTTCGCCCTGCGAATAAAACACTGTATATGAAGAAACAGTTTTGTTTCAAAATCTGTAATTACCCGCTCTTAGCCTGGGGGCAGAATAGTAAATAAAGCAGCAGGACTAAAATCGTTCGTATATAAAATCGTACAAATCGTACCTAAAATTAAAAAGAGTATTTTGTCTCAACCTGACCTTTGTACCTGGCAGGAGTCGTTTTATTTTATTTATTTTATTTTATTTATTTGAACACCAACAAGGTTACATTGAGGCTTCACAAAAGTAACTATAAAAAATGACAGAGTTTTAGGTAGGTATTATAAAAAGTTCATAACACGTTTAAAATCTATCCTTATTTAAAAACACCAATATTTAGTAACCGTTATATGGCTAGATCTTTTTTAATTTCCCCTATTCTAACAGTGACACAACCGCCATTGATGAGCGTGCCGTCCTTTCTGTAATAGGCATAATGGAAGTTCTCATCAGCAAACTATAATTTGTATTTCATTTGAACATACCTCAAACGTGGACACGGCGTAGTTGTTCCCCCGCTTAGCCGTGACGACAGAGACGAGCGCGCCGTCCTTGTTGACGATAGGTGTCCCCGCCAGGAACTGGTTGGCGGACTCGAAGGTGGCTGCGCAGCGCCACTGCGCCATCTGCCCGTCGCTCGAGATCAGCAGGATGCGCTTGCTGCGGTTGATGAACACCTGAGAAGAAAAATAGAAGAAATTATTATTTGGCACCAAATTGCGTGCATTCATTGTCACTATCATTCAGCCACAGGGAGTCCACTGCTGAACATAGGCCTTCTCCAATGATTTTCAGATTGTACAGTTGGTAGTACCTTCCTACTTCCAGGTACGCTAAGGTGGAGCTCGCGGAAAATATGTATTCTATTGAGCGGTAAGGACGAAGGTAGGGGACCTGGCCTTCATTTTTGCAATTACATACGGGCATCCTGGGGCACCAGACCATTCTAGGACGAGCCATGTGGTGTGTACTCAATTGCGAGCAGCGAAGGTTCGAGTGTTGTGGAAATTCTCAGGCGTTTATCTAGCAGTGGACGTCATTTCGCTGAAACGAATATTTAGGAGAAAAGTGGCGTAAATTCGTGAGGCTAATAGTTAAGAGGCGAGTGTCACATTATAGTACCTTCTCGGCCGTGTTCTCGTCGATCCTGACGTAGGCCAGCTCGCCCAGCGGCGCCAGCAGCTCGTCCGTGAACACGTCGCAGTAGTGGTGCGTCGTGTTGGCCAGCTGCTCCACCTGCAACCAAAAAATACAGATATATTCATACCATGGCATTTCAAATCATGTAAGATCAACGCACTGCGCTGCACCCAATATTGACAAAGCGAGAAGAGAGTTAGTAAGTAAAGTAGTCATAACAGGTGCACGTGCGCCCTAAATGCCCGAAGTGCACTATTTAACCAACGTGTTATATGAAACTAACGACTTTTAGGACTTTTAAGTGCTACATTACATCAATCAATTTTAAAGGGCAACCCAGAACGCAGTGCTCCGCGCTCATTTCTCTTTTTCGGAACGGATGCAAAAAAAAATGTAGCAAGTATTTCATGAAAATTGAACAGATGAAAATTGCGCTCACAAAATAATATTAAAAATAGAATAAGCTATTAAAAAAAAATCTATTGGGAAATTGTAGCGTGAAAAGGAACGTCAAAGTTACATACATTTTCGAGGGTTGGTCTAAAAAAGTTTTTGGCGGTAGTGGAAGGAAGAGCAACAATATGGCTGCTCGAGTTTGTGAAATGGGAGGTGAAGTTTTTATGTCCTATATTTTTTTTACATGTACTTAAGTAATTAAAATAAATTAAGTGCGTGAAGGAATCGTGTGTGAACTATCATGGAGATGATTAAGGAATTTAAAGTGGTGGGTGAGTGATTGCATTTTTCCATTTGGATTTAATATTTTGTCGCTAACTAGAATTTTCAGTAATGGTATAGGGTAGGTAGGTGAAGTGCTGCTAACTTTGCGCATTCGAGATTGTTCAGAACACGGTTACTTAGAAAGTGTAACCTATTTCGTAGTTAGTTAATGTATTTAGAAACTTTTGATTGCGGTGGGGTTTTTAGTGTAGTTGTGGTAGAGTAGAATACGGTCGTGCGTGTGTGGTCCGGGCCTCTACTTTCCCCATTCGTACGAGGCTTTTATTGGGCAGCCCTCTAGTCTTGTCTAGTGGGGATAGATGTAGGCCAAATCCTCCATTTTTTCAGGTAAATTAAATTCAGATTTTTCTTGCACGATTAGAATTCGTGCTCCTGAAGGACTATGACGAATATTTATTATTCGGGATTCGCTGTGGTCAGCCTATCTCTCCCTCTCGTCCAGGCGCGGCGCAGTGGATGGGTAGCACGTCGAAGCTGACGAACCCCCTGCCGTACCTTGGGATTCGGCGTGGTCATCCACGATCGACCACGCTTAAGATTGTCTAACTTTCGTGATCGATGCCCTATCACACTGGCCACTCGTCCACGCGTTCTTTCGCTGCTCGCTTAAAGTTGCCTACCTGTTCAGGCGCGGCGCAGTGGATGGGCAGCACGGCGCCGAAGCTGGCTAACTTCTTGCCGTCTCGCTCACCCATCCTCGAACGACCAAGCCTATTATTGCCTAAACTTTCGTAATCGATGCTCTCCCTCTTCGCTGCTCGCATCAACTTGCCTACCTGTTCAGGCGCGGCGCAGTGGATGGGCAGCACGGCGCCGAAGCTGGCAAACCTCTTGCCGTCTCGCTCGTGCAGCTCCGCCGGGATGGCCATGGCCTCCACCAGCCCCTTGTACTGCTCGTTCAGGACTGTCCGCTTCGACATGCTGCTTCGCTGGAAATTAACGAGGTAAGTGTTTACTTTTAACTTTCACATTATGTTATGGTAAATGACGGGAAAACACTGAACTTCAGTAGGCTGATGCGCGCCGCGATAAGCGGTTATCACACTATTTTATCGATTTTGCCCATACATTTTGACGTCGATAAAGTTTACCACGGCGCGCATCCTAGCTGGCAGGCAGGACCGAAGACACTTAATGTACTTCAGACTGTATTTTTTACTTAAGAAGTTAACATAGCAAAATTGCCACATTCTTAGTTATTTTACTGGATGTGCTGTTTTTCCCGTATTGTTTTACCCGGCCTATTAATATTCTAATGACAAAAGTAGTAATTCTTCTCGTATCTACATACCTATCTTTAAATTCAGCCTATGGATGTAGTTTAGTTAGTTATATCACTCAGGCAAGTTTACACTTACAATTCACATTGGTTTGCGTAAATATTGAAGATGGAAAACATTGAAATGAATGGCATACTTAGATACGTCCTAGTCCTACATGAGTCAAAATATTAAAACTATCTCGCGTTCACTTTGCAGAATATTATGTTTTATTCTACAATTCTATAATGTAGACAATCAGACAACACATTAACGTAAATAGTAACACCACCTACCCTCACTTTACTTAGCTCCATCCGGGTGTCCCTTCGCGGCCCGAAACCTTAGATATTATTTACTTCTATTATTCTCAAATAGTACTAATATTCTACAATTCTACATAATAGCAATACGAGTGTTACAACTACAGTCTACGAATAAATTAGAAAGAACCGCGAAGCGCGACGAAATCATTAGCGGAACAATTAAAATGGCTGTAACTATTTTTTACAAAGGTAGGTATACTAAGAGGATTTCAGATGACTTACTAGTACTATACATATTTACTAACTACTGTAACTAAATAAAAAATTGTTGTATGTATACTGTTTATTCTATTAGGGTTTCTGATCCGCACATGCAAACTTGTAGGGTAGGTTTCTTTTTACTTCTCACTGCGTCTAGGTTTCCTTTTTATAATATTCTCGGGAGGAAAGTGATGCACTATCTAGGAATTTAAATAAAAAACGATATTGATCGATGGACTACTCTTTTTTTCCTTGAAAACTAGAGATTATTTCCGACATTTTTGATTTCGATTAAATATATTTTAATTCATATTTCAATCACTGTTTCAAATGTTACTCCAGTATCTAGTCTACTTATTGTTGTAAACCCCGCTTAGCGAGGATTACTGTGAATCTGTTCGCAATCGCGTCGATCGATCACCTTTATCGGGGCGTGGCTTAGAGATTTATTTTGTTTATCAAACAAACACCAAAATGCTGGAATGTGTTATGCAAACAGCACAAACTGGACAACGTTAGACCTGACTATGGAAAGTTAAAGAAAGAAGTAGGTAGGTAGTACCTAGGTAAAGTAGGGTAGATATTCCACATTTTTTTTATATTGTTTATTATTAACTAACTTTTGCCCGCGGCTTCACCCGCGTGAAATTTAGTGTCACAGATCGGCATAAATTATAGCCTACACGTTAGTCTGGGTTACAAACAATAATACTGTAAAGTTTCAACAAAATCCGATCAGTAGTTTTTGCGTGAAAAAGTAACAAACATCCAGATATCCAGACATCCAAACTTTGCATTTATAATATTAGTAGGATTGCGAGATCCTCTTGCGTGAATATGGAGATATTGGAGGTAGGTAGATAGATAGGTAGTATCGTTGATATGACCTTTCTGATCCTCATGGACATTATAAAATAGCTTTCAGTAGATAATAGAGTAGGTAGGATATCCTAAAGCCAACCCTGTAAAATCTTATAACAGTCTCTACAAAACAACGCTTCGTTCAATATTATGAACCTACTCACGTTTTGACCGTCTTTAAGAAAATTGAAAAAGTATCGATTTTAACAATATTGGTCTCTATCATTGTAGTCGGAAAATCCTGTCCAGCCAATCTTGAAAAATTAATGAACACAGGTGCTTCATTGATTTTGAAAAATATAGCCCTTTTTATCTTTTATATTTAGTAGATTCAAAATGCAGTGCCAAGCAAGTATGCCGTAACATTACAAACACAAACATTAAAATCGAATGATGAGCCATAGACTAAACACAGTCGTGAAGTCACATGCTTAGCAGGAGGCGCGCACTTAGTTTCAAATATTTTGTACTACTTATTTAATTATTAATTACCTACTTACTTATGTAAAACTACTTTCTTGCAAAGGTTCGAGTACCTACATAATATTATTGTATTACACGTTACCGTGCCTTAGCTTAAAATAAATATCTTCATTTATGCACTTAACTTTCTCGTATTTTTCCACTGGTAATTATTGTACATAACTCAAATTAATTTATCAAACTAAAAAAACATTTCCCGTTAAAGTAAACAAGTCGAACCTTGACCCAAGAATGAATTATTAATGACTCACTCACCACCTAAGTTTCCGTCCGAAAATTTAACTTCACAGTGGCTGCCTAGTAATTTTAGTTCATAATTATTCAACAGTTACCTGGCGATAAGGTGTGTTTATCTCCGCTGATAGTGTTTATTGCTGCCACTATCTGCGTGCGCGCAACTCGGCCGAGAGGGCGCCACTGTGCGATGCGCGAGCGCCGAATTCAGCATCATCGGTGACATTGGCGCGGGGTCATGACGTAGGTTTTGCGTCGAGTAATAGGTATTAAGTAGGTACTAACTGGCTTTTGTGTTTATAATTCATGGATTGATAAAAAGAGCTCTTTTTGTTGGACAAATTATAATCGATAAAGTCAATAGTTCCGATGCGGAATTTGGTCATGGCCATTGTCTAATGATGTACACAAGGTTTATGATATTCACACAATAAAAGACCTTTAAGCCACAAGTGACTAAGTGGCTATGCATCTTCTAGGCCAGGTCATTCGTCATAAGGCGTCATAGAGGTACATACTACATACCTAAAGCTTACTTAAGCTAAGACGTCGATAACGGTTGCTTCATGCTTTGTGTGGTCTCTAGTACCTACTATTTATTGTGTAATACAATAGCGTAAAAACAAGAAGTAAATTCACCACACACTATGTTATGTATGTGTATGCCTTCATTACGCAGCTGCGCAGGTGTAAGTTGTGCAGGTCTAGTTCGTTCAGATAACTTTTATCAGCATTAGCGAACGCAAGAACGCGTCATCCTACTCGTACCATACATAATATCTGCTACGATTCCCACGGTACCTTACCTAAACCTACTTACATCATACCTCGTAGATACGCACCAAGTTGAAAAAGCTTCTTATCAGTTAAAACTACATACTACATAGTAAAACCCTAATACTGAACTTGACACTGTATGTCGCCCGGCCGCATCTACTTACTCGTTAGTAAAGCAAAGCTGTTACTCAACAAAACCCATATGAAAGCACCCTAACAAACTTAACCTGGCATGGCAGTCCATTTCATAGATTTTTTTATAGCATAGATCATGATGAGATGCGTTTTATTTTATTTTTCAAAAGGTACCTTCTTATTTCGGCGCTCGCACTACAAATTAGGAACTTTCCTCGCACTAAAAAACTTGGCTGTAACAATTACTTATTTAAACTATACGAATGATTCTAACTAAATGGATCAATATAGGCTCAGATTTAATCAAATCAATTAATTAATGACTAAGTATCAAATTACCAAACGGCAACAGTGTACCAATGTATATTTACTAACTTTACAAAAATACACTGAACACATTATTTGCTATTATAAATAAAGTAGGCGTTAATATTTTTAAGTTGCAGTGTTGCAGGCTTTATTAATCTAAGGTTGCAAGAAACAAAGTTTTCACACGTTTTGTAAAAAAAATATACTTATAGGAATACTTATTGTAGGGTAAACCAGAGAGTGATTGCCCACTGGTAGTGATTGCCCGCTTTAAGAATAATATTGTCAGGTTCTGACTTTGAATCACTCTAGTTAGATTTGAATTTACTAAGTAGATGGCTCCGAGATCAATGTAGTTACAGTAGATTTAAAATTTACAATAGGAAACACTAAAAAAACAGTTATGGCGGATTTTGTCAAGACGGGTGAAAATGTTACTCAAACTGGTAAAGACTTTAACAATTTTACTAAGGAGTTACTTGCTTAGAAGTTAATTTTTTTTTGCAAGTCACTTAATATTCAACTAATGGTGTATAGTCGTGATGAAATTATAAGTGTTTTCTCCATTATCAATGAAAATAACTGATAAAATTTGATTTCTAACGGTCATTTTAACGGTGGGTAACTGCACGTAAATCTGTATATTTTTAGTTATTGCCCACCATCATTTCAGTTATTGCCATATGTTAATGTATAGTTATTGCCCAGGGCAATTATTATTAGAGTGTTGCCACCATGCAGTAGCAGTGTTTAAGTTGCTCATTGCTAGACTTGTTTTGCAATTTACAGGCATAAATATTGAAATGGCTTTTAATGTTTCATTTTCAGTATGCCAAAGACTCCAAAAGTTCAATATAGCATAGAAAATTTGCAAAAAGCGATCGAAGCTGTACAAGATGTATCCAACAATTTATCTACAAGATAAATTGCTGAAAAATATGGTTTGGCTTGAAAAAATTGATAAAAATTCAAACGCAAATACAAAAAATGAAAATCCTACGTTAAATCTACTAGTGAAAATGTTAATTGTAAGGAAATAGATACAACTTTAGGGAAGAATAACCAACAGCTAATTGAACATTCTGAGCAACCACTTGAACTGATATCAAAGAAGATAAAATTTACATATAAAATTCAAATTTTTGCGTCATCTATGTTTTGAAGGAGATGATTCTGTCTCTACCGATTCTGACTCATCAACATCAGCTCAAGAAATATTTGATAATATAGTTAATAAGGCCAAACGCAATTTATTTTGATGAAGACTGTACTACTAGAATTTAAGTTTGATGTTTTGTTTTGTTTATTTAAAGCCTAATTTTGTCATTTTAAAATTGATTATTTTGTTTTAAGATACTGGGCAATTACTGTGCTTTGATGTGGGCAATTAGTGTAAGTGATGGGCAATGACTGTACTTTTTGGAGGATTTTAAATTTATTTCAATATTTTCTAAGTTACGTAAGTTTTAACTAAAAACTGTTAATATTTTGTTTAACAGTTTATTGAGTTATAAGAAAAAAGTCATAAATGGTCGATAATTAAAATACTATCTTTAATTTTTCATCTCAATGTGTTTGAAATCTTTAAGTGGGCAATAGCTATACGGTTTACCCTACCTATTTAGATGTTTAGCCAACGTTTAGTTGATTTGAATTGATGATTGAATTAATTTGAAATATGATTTTTGCCGACAACTCGTGTAGTTACTTACTTACTACTAGGTACTAAGTAGTTACTTACTATTGGTGGTGGGTAACAAAGGAACAACGGCCTTAAATTAACCAGAACACTAGCCCCAATATACACCTCACCACAATAAACATGTAAGTAGGCACTTAAAACTTTAAAACACACAAAGGGTCACTTTTATAACAGAGAAATTCCAGTAACCACTACCGAGCTCCCCTCCACGTTATATTTTACAAATACCTATGCCTTCAGTTTAAATACCCATCTACGCACATTCAAATCAAAAACGTATTTCCGATTCTTTCACTGTTCATCGACCTTAAAGAGGGGAATCCCCTGTTCAAACCACAGACAAAACATCTATCCACCAATAGGCAAGGCTTACCTACATTCAACTTGACCTGTTTTTCAGGCTATTGAATAGGGAAAATTTACATAATGATTGCGTTTAATTCAATGGTGGACGCAGTTAATGACATTATATTTTTATTTTCAATCAATTCTAAAAAAAATCAAATAGGTACCTAGTTACTATGTAGTTACTCGTTATCCAAACATTAAAACTTGCAACTGTGATGGAATTCAGCCTCCTCTCCCTTTTTTTTCTTGCCCATTTTCAGTAGTTACCAAAAAGTAACGCTTACAAACGCCCAAAATTAATATTTGCATGCTTCGTGTAAGCAAAACATGACTGAACAGTTTTCTGTGTAACATCTGTATATACCGTGTTTTAAGCAAATAAATGTATTCTTATTCTTACAAAATTACAGTAGAATATTTAATTATTTAATAATAAGCTACCACATTTTAATAATTAATACGATTTCTTATAGAAAAACAAATTACTCACAGCATTTGTGAACGCCACACTAATAAGTACACAGCTCGCAAGATAAATCATGCTCGTCATTTTGGGAGGAATTACCGAACACTATTGGATATTATGTATAGCTAGCTTTGGTTTATATACTGGAAAATTGTTTTGTAGGCATTATTCCTTATCGGGATCCGAATTTCTGCGCAAAATGGGCTTCTTTTCGCAAAGATGCCCAATGCCCATACGGTAGATCATGGTGGGACAAACTAAACAAATGTAACAACCTTTTTTACCTATGATGACGAATAAGTGGGTAATCATTTTATCTCAAGGATTTTCCTTGTGTTTGGATTTTTATTGTCTGGTCTTGTAAGCTCATCATAAAGTAGGTTATAACGAACACGTTATAACTATAAAGTCAATGTTAAATTGTTAAGACCAGTTAAGACTTTCTGAAATCATTACATGCCACAACAATGCACATCCTTGACAAATGAATAGATAGTTTATCTACTTACGAATACGAGATCATATAAAAAAAATTATGTAGGTACTTGCATCTCAAAAAAAGGAAATTCCTGTTAGGATTACTCTAATCTACCAAGACCTGCAACAAGGGAATCAAACCTATTATAGACTTCCAATTTACCTTACAATATCCACTTAACTTTTAAAATAATTGTAATGCTAGTATTTCAGTAGTTTGTATCGGTAAAAATCACTAAGTACTCAAACTCAGATTTATTAGTAGAATCACAGAATAAAGTGCTACTTGGAACTTTATTTAACGAACTATGATTTCATAGAGTTCGTGTTTACCCGACTGCGCCAGAAGGAGGGTTAATTTATTAGGTGCCCTGCGGATGCATATTACATTGTATCCAGTATCTCCCCCATGGAGGTATCTCCCCCTATAGCTGCCAATTACCTATTCCTACTTCGACTAAACTTTCAGTAAATCCGGAATAATTCATGATTGAAGTTAACCTAAGTGGCCTACTTATTTACTCGTAAATCAATACTATTATTATTATTTATCAAAGACAACAATACGAAGGTCAGATAAGATAGACACACGACACTACACGTGTTGGATGCTGCGGTCCCAACAAGGGGAATCACCGCGCATAGACAACGCAGAGATTGTTTCCTGCGATCGGAGTTGATCAGTCAAGTTTCTAATTTAGTACAATTATGTAAAATTCGTTATATTCAGGATTTATGTAACGTTTACGTTACGTAAATTATCTAGATAAATACGTGGTAATATACGAATTTTAATTTCACATGGTTCTATCTAACAATTAGATAGGTAGGATCTGTCTTTCCTTATTTATCCGCATGCATCTCCCTTTTTATGGCTAACAACTATCCTCCCGTATTGTCTAGAAGAGATCGCTCCCTATAGCGATAGTTTATCTGTGGCGATAGGTAAAACCTAAAGAATGCCATTACAATGTTAGTCTTCTTTCTCTTTTAACCTATGGTTAATTTTGTGCATGTGTAGACCTACGGACGTCCGCGAAACGGAGAAAATCTGCTAATGAAATCAAACCGTGGCTGACTAAGACAAAATCTCATATTCTCGTATTTCGGGAACTCTAAGTAAAATCCCTTTCATAGAGTCTACACTCTATATTTTATAGTAGGTACGAGTATGTATTGGTACTTGACAACCATAAATTAAATTGTTTCTGAATTCGTTATCCCCCTTTTGTATTTATTTTTACTTACATTATGATAATTAATAATTCAAATATCACGTCTTACTATTAAAATCACATAAGCTAATTTTATTAAATTTTAATTTTGAACTAAAATAGTATTAATGAGTTACATTATGTACCTACTCACGGCTTGACGGTAAAAAAAATAATTTTGAAGATTTAAAAAAAATAATAAAACAAAACATTGTAACAAAGCTTTATTTAATTGCTAGGCACTTGCTATTTCTTTAACATTATTCTCTCTAATTGAAAATTATTGGTAGGTAGGTAGGTACTGAATTGGTTAATTGGTATTCTAAACTTAATAAAATATACACATAGGTTCAAGTTTCAAGGTAAAGGCGAATAGAAACTTTCAAATCACAAAAAACAGGATAGAGAGCTCATCGCTTAACTTATAAGTAGGCATTCAAAAGTTTTGAAAAACACTCGCGACATCGAAAAATACGCAGCGTGCGATTACTCGCCTTTTTTTATTATTTTGGCCTTGGGGCCAAAGGACAGTCGCAAATAACTTATAGTTTAAAATAAATATTACTACTTAACTACCTACTATTGATGAATATTAATTTGTTTTTTTTTAATATTCAGGCAAAAATTACCCTGTAGCTGTTGTAGTATTTGTGAACCACAAAATAAATAAGTAAAGTTAAGTTAACTTTAATTAATTTTACTTCTAAAATAATTCTATAATTTAACAAAAAAATACCTAATATACACTTGCGAGCAAAAGTATGGAATCACTTACATGAAGTTGTTTCCACGCGATCGTGTGCACTAACCAATTTGTTAATAACAAAAAAAGTAGCACCATTTTAAAGATTAAACTTTTAACTTTAAATTGATACCAAATTCATTTAAATCACACCAGTATTTAAAAAGATATCCCGGCTGATGGGAAGAAGTAAGGAAAAAGACATATATCAACTGTTTGATACGTCGCGAGTTGCGGCCTATTTATCCCCCATAAAAGCAAGTGTTTTCGGATTTTTGCTTTCACACGTTGATCCATACACATCTCCGCTTCTTTTGACACTTTACCTGGGATTCTACACCTTCAGAAGCAGCACATATCGTTGCACTATTGCAAGAAGGGCTCAGCCAGCGGGCTGTCGCACGTCAGCTCCACATAAGCCAGTCCTGGGTTTCGAAAGTTTTAAGACGCTTTCGGGAGACTGGTGGCTTTATCCCTCCTACACATCTCGATGGGAAGTCGAGCAAGCCACCCCCATAAGCCAATGTTTTAGCGAACCAGCACTGCACAAATCGCTCCCCAGGCCGTCTATAGACCCGACCTCTTCGACTGCTGCACTGCAAAAACAGTCTGCATTCATCGGAAAACAAAACTCGCCTCCATTACTCGCCTTTCGAGTGCGAGCTAATTGAAAGCGTGCTTGTGGGTGACCTGCCGTCAGTTTCCAGCCTGTGGCAGGCCTTTTTGAAGTCAAATTTTATTGCTCATATCTTAGACGAACTGTCCACTGGCTAACAGCTATCCTACGAACATTTCTGAGCTCTTTCTGGACGTCGATACCAGTCAAATGACGATTTCGTAGAGAAGTTGACATGAAAAAACGGTTTTCCCTCTGCGATGTGCACCGGCAATGTTCAGAACTTGGTCTCGGGATAAAGCCACCAGTCTCCCGAAAGCGTCTTAAAACTTTCGAAACCCAGGACTGGCTTATGTGGAGCTGACGTGCGACAGCCCGCTGGCTGAGCCCTTCTTGCAATAGTGCAACGATATGTGCTGCTTCTGAAGGTGTAGAATCCCAGGTAAAGTGTCAAAAGAAGCGGAGATGTGTATGGATCAACGTGTGAAAGCAAAAATCCGAAAACACTTGCTTTTATGGGGGGTAAATAGGCCGCAACTCGCGACGTATCAAACAGTTGATTCATGTCTTTTTCCTTACTTCTTCACATCAGCCGGGATATCTTTTTAAATACTGGTGTGATTTAAATGAATTTGGTATCAATTTAAAGTTAAAAGTTTAATCTTTAAAATGGTGCTACTTTTTTTGTTATTAACAAATTGGTTAGTACACGAGATCGCGTGGAAACAACTTCATGTAAGTGATTCCATACTTTTGCTCGCAAGTGTAGGTCTTTCTCTAATAATGTAACTGTCCATCATAACCGAAGAATTAAAGGGGATTTTCATAAACATTTCTTTAAGATGAGAGCTTAATTATCTTGTAATTTATTGTACTATGTTTTGATAACAGTGATAACACAGACCAAAGATTATGTTGTTTATTAAAGTTATGTTGTGAAATTGATTTTAGAATCTTTGTTATTCTGACGATCGCTTGCATTTCGGTTTGTACAGATACTTTATCATAAGTTTTCTTAAACTTAAATTCAGTTTTCAAAAAACATAGGTAGTTAAAGCCCGGTCCGTGAGCACGTAGAATTTTGTCCAATGACCCCTAGCTACCCATCCTTATCGCTAGCGCGTAATTATATTGCTGTCGCGACTGTGCGACTGGCACCCGCAGTGAGTGTGCGAGCGCGATAGCAACATAATTACGCGCGAGCGATAAGGATGGGTAGCTTGGGGTCATTGGTCAAAATTCTACGTGCTCACGGACCAGACTATACCTAATTAATACCTATCTTTTTTTCCTGGGTCTTAACCATTTTCCCTGTAATTTCATGAAAGAGTAAATAAACATCCTCACAAACTTTCACATTATAATATTAGTAGGATATATCCAATCTACCGTCATTTAAAGTCTTTGTACACCAGCACGGCATCGTGGTCGGTCCCGGGCGCTCTTCTCGCGCGGGCGACCGCTTGACGCGGGGGCAGCGCCGGGTCCCGGTACAACACGCTAGCTTAGTGACATAAGGTAGGTATATCAACTGAAGTCTTTGTACACCAGCACGGCATCGCGGTCGGTCCCGGGCGCTGTGCGCGCGCGGGCGATCGCTTGGGGCGTGGCGGCGCACAGGCGCGGCGGCAGCGCCGGGTCCCGGTACAACACGCTAGCTTAGTGACTAGTAAGGTATTAACAACCGTCATCAACTGAAGTCTTTGTACACCAGCACGGCATCGTGGTCGGTCCCGGGCGCTCTTCTTGCGCGGGCGAGCGCTTGGGGCGCGGCGGCAGCGCCGGGTCCCGGTACAACACGCTAGCTTAGTGACTAGTAAGGTATTAACAACCGTCATCAACTGAAGTCTTTGTACACCAGCACGGCATCGTGGTCGGTCCCGGGCGCTCTTCTTGCGCGGGCGAGCGCTTGGGGCGCGGCGGCAGCGCCGGGTCCCGGTACAACACGCTAGCTTAGTGACTAGTAAGGTATTAACAACCGTCATCAACTGAAGTCTTTGTACACCAGCACGGCATCGTGGTCGGTCCCGGGCGCTCTTCTTGCGCGGGCGAGCGCTTGGGGCGCGGCGGCAGCGCCGGGTCCCGGTACAACACGCTAGCTTAGTGACTAGTAAGGTATTAACAACCGTCATCAACTGAAGTCTTTGTACACCAGCACGGCATCGTGGTCGGTCCCGGGCGCTCTTCTTGCGCGGGCGAGCGCTTGGGGCGCGGCGGCAGCGCCGGGTCCCGGTACAACACGCTAGCTTAGTGACTAGTAAGGTATTAACAACCGTCATCAACTGAAGTCTTTGTACACCAGCACGGCATCGTGGTCGGTCCCGGGCGCTCTTCTTGCGCGGGCGAGCGCTTGGGGCGCGGCGGCAGCGCCGGGTCCCGGTACAACACGCTAGCTTAGTGACTAGTAAGGTATTAACAACCGTCATCAACTGAAGTCTTTGTACACCAGCACGGCATCGTGGTCGGTCCCGGGCGCTCTTCTCGCGCGGGCGAGCGCTTGAGGCGCGGCGGCGCACAGGCGCGGAGACAGCGCCGGGTCCCGGTACAACACGCTAGCTTAGTGACGTAAGGTATATCAACTGAAGTCTTTGTACACCAACACGGCATCGTGGTCGGTCCCGGGCGCTGTGCGAGCGCGGGCGAGCGCTTGAGGCGTGGCGGCGCACAGGCGCGGAGACAGCGCCGGGTCCCGGTACAACGCGCTAGCTTCGTGACGCTAGTACTAGTAAGGTATTAACAACCGTCGTCAACTGAAGTCTTTGTACACCAGCACGGCATCCTGGTCGGTCCCGGGCGCTTTTCTCGCGCGGGCCAGCGCGGGCGGCGCGGCGGCAGCGTCGGGTCCCGGTACAACACGCTAGCTTAGGACGCTAGTACTATAGGCCAGTAGAATTAAACACAAAAATGAATTAAATCGGAAATAATTCCTACTAAAGATTTTAGTATAACCGGAAAACCTAAAAAGCGCCCCTTTCGGGGGCCCCCTCCACTTAAGCACAACTCCGTCGAAGTCGAAAACCTAGGAGAGTCTTAATGGGCACCCAATGAAGCCATTAAAGCAATAAAATCTTTTGTAGGAATTATTTCCGATTTAAAATCTAATTCTACTGGACTACTAGTAAGGTATATCGACAGCCGTCATCAACTGAAGTCTTTGTACACCAGCACGGCATCCTGGTCGGTCCCGGGCGCTGTGCGAGCGCGGGCGAGCGCTTGAGGCGTGGCGGCGCATAGGCGCGGAGACAGCGCCGGGTCCCGGTACAACACGCGGCCCCGGCCGAGTCCCACTGCCACGACGTAGTGCCCGCGGTAGCCGCCGCCGAAGCAGCGCCTGGGACAACAGTTCCTGGTGCTTACCACAGATTTGGATTCGGCAAATACGTAGGACGTCCACCCACGAGGTGAAGATAAGCTAACATTTATCTAAAAATATGGTGGTACATTGGTTTGATCACCACAATAGTCGAGCGGCGGCGGGGACCAAACCCGCGTTCCCCGGATCATGAGTCGGCCACTCCGACCCCTTCACCGTTCGGCTATCGTGGCTTCGTGGAAATAGTTACATAGTTCAACATATTCTGCCATGTTTTCTGTCTGCCATGGTGGACCGACGACCTCATAAAGGTAGCAGGAAGGCGCTGGATGCAGGTCGGTATAACAACCGATCAACATGGAAATCATTGGGGTAGGCCTATGTTCAGCAGTGGACGTCCTATGGCTAAAATGATGATGAAATTTGTGGTATTTACCATCATCATATTTCAATCGTAAACGAGCTATAGCCGCTGACACAGCCCGATGTATTAGCAAGCTAAACTGGCTATGGGCAGGGTATACAGGGTGTTAGGTAAATGGGTATATGAGCCGACACTAGCCCATGTTAACATGGGCATATAAATGGTATGGTGAAGTCAGAAAATTGATATCTTAATTTTAATTACTTTAATTTTCATACAAATCGGATTTTATAAAATTTATTTTGTATGAAAATTAAAAATTTTAAAATGATGATATCAAATTTCTGACTTCACCATACCATTTATATGCCCATGTTAACATGGGCNTCGGTCCCGGGCGCTCTTCTTGCGCGGGCGAGCGCTTGGGGCGCGGCGGCAGCGCCGGGTCCCGGTACAACACGCTAGCTTAGTGACTAGTAAGGTATTAACAACCGTCATCAACTGAAGTCTTTGTACACCAGCACGGCATCGTGGTCGGTCCCNAGTCAGAAAATTGATATCTTAATTTTAATTACTTTAATTTTCATACAAATCGGATTTTATAAAATTTATTTTGTATGAAAATTAAAAATTTTAAAATGATGATATCAAATTTCTGACTTCACCATACCATTTATATGCCCATGTTAACATGGGCTAGTGTCGGCTCATATACCCATTTACCAAACACCCTGTATAGCATGAAGAACTGACGGCCGACATGGCAGTAAGGTTCTGGAATGGAGGTCACGTAAGGTCAAGCGCAGTGTAGGACGTCACGTAGTGCAGAAACACATCTCTAATTTCGTTCGTTTCAGCCGAATGACGTCCACTTCTGGAAAGACCTCCCCCAATTTACTAGACGCAAATGGATGGGTTGGGTTGACATATCCTATAGTTTTTTAGTGAATTTTTTTCTCACCTGAACTCGGCCTTCAGCTTATTATGCTTGCACAGGTCGCAGACCAGTAGTCCTGCGTCTACGAGCAGGACGACAGGCCCCGAGCTCACCAGGTGTGCCACCAGCTCGTCGGTGGACAGCGACCGCTGCGACACCTCGATACCAGTGCTGGTCGCCTCGTCGAAGCGACGCCTGACGCGTTCTCGGTCCTTCATTGGTGCAAAAGTTGATACTGCTTGGATAAGTGTTGACTGGTAAAGAATTAAATATAGCTAGAGGCTCTAGAATTGAATACTCTACGAAGGTTGTCTGGAAGAGATCGCTTCCTAGCGCATAAATTATGCTGTCTCTTTTGTCTATTTCTTTCTTTTCTTGTGTGCTCAGCGACCGCTGCGACACCGTCGAAGCCCCGCCAGACGCGACCACGGTTCTTCATTGGTACAAGATAACAAGGTAAGATAATTATTTGCTTTGCTTATTTATTTACAAAGTCGATATTGTTTAGTTAAGAGTTGGTAGAGAACATAGAGCTATTAAGGTAAAATATTAGTCTATCTAGATTGTCTGAAAGAGATTGCTTCATAGCGATAAGACCACCAAAATTAAGTCTCTTTGAAAGTATTTCTTTCTTTTCTTGTATTGTGTGCATTATTGTGTTATCTATCAATGTAGTGAGATTACCAACCCCTTAACCATTCTGAGCTTAACTTTGAGTAAGTAAGCAATAACTTACCAAGTCCAATATCCTATCATAGTATCCATGTTTCTTATAGTCCTCATTCACTCCTGGCATGATGGTGCACATCTGATGCCTAATGCCGTATCTACAAACATGTGAAATGAAGAAATTATAATTTAAAAACTATTCGTTTTATCTATCAGGTACTAGAGCTTTAGCATTGTGCATCAACATCTTACAATTTGTCACAATTTCTGCCTTATCAAAAAACACCTAAACATTTTTGCATACTTTATCAGATGATAGATGTGAGGCACCTTTTGAGCAGGTAACATAAGTCAATGGTCCACGTGGACTGGTTGAAGCCTTCCTCTTGGCAGGTCTCGGCGAACTTGTTCAATAGCTCCCTTCGCTGCTCTTCTTCCAACAGCATCAGGACGCAGGACACGCCACAGTCCCAATTGAAGCGCTGTCGGTAATGCGTTATCTTGTGTTCGATGAACTGTGGTCTACCTAAAATCGTTGCGGTAAAGTGGTTGTTTTTAAGCTAGATATTTTGATAGTTTTTGTAAGTCACTAATTCGTTTTTCAATTAATTTTACATCTGACTCACATGCAAAACACCCAGTATGTTTTAGAGAAATTAATACAGTCCAAAATAAAAGTATTAACATAATACTCTACTAACTTACTTACCTGCCTTTTCAGATGCCATGATCGCTTCTGTGTACACGTTAAAATCAATTCTTCTTCATACTTCTTTCACATGACCATTGCGAGCATAGAACACACAGTCACCACATTTTTTTCAGCTAGCTATTGTCAGCTTTTACTAAGAATTATGAGATACCTAAGCATTTTGGTGACTCAGCTATGTTATAGTCTCTTCTAGATTCTAATACTCAATAGACCCTATACTTATGTTAATATACGCTTAATCTTGATGTTTCAGGTTTATAAAAAGTAACTTTACCACGAATTAGGATGAGGAGATGATTATTTTTGCATTGTTTTTGTTGTTATCAGCACTGTGCATCATTCATTGAAGCTGTCAAAAAACCTTATCACCTACGTTTCGTTTTACTGCAACAGTATTTCCTTTTTTGTTGTTGTTCCCAAAATAAAATGATAAATTACAATCCTGTTGTTCCTCTAAGATCTATAGTTTCTTGTATTTTTTTAATGTAGAACCCTTTATTCTTAGACAATTCCTACTTTTTGAAACTTGAAACTTCTAAATATAAATAAAGTATTGGTTACGTAGAAAGGAACGTGCCAATGTTGCGTTTAGTTTAATTTTTGCAGTATGGACCTAAATAATTGTTTGATTGTTATTTATCAATATATTTTTTGGATTATATTTCATGCCAAGTACGAGAGGTTCTTGAAAATAATTTAATAATGTGCGTGTCCAAATAATGGACCCAATTTATGTTTTGTTTTTAATTCGCAAGCAAAACGCTAATGGACCAGCTGACTGTCAACTTTACATCTGTCAAGTGTCTTGTACCTACCTACATTTTAGTTTTTATCGACTCACCCAATTTTCAGGTGTTTTATAGTTATAAAAATGGCACTGAGAAGAGCGTTTTACAAATTGGCTAGCAGCGGGGGATCTTCCCGCAACGTTAACAGGGTCCGAGCGCTAAGCACACAGAACGCGCACAAGGAAAATGATGGACAATCATCAAAACAAACTCATTTTGGTTTCCAGTCGGTGGATGAGGAAGAGAAGTGGAAAAAAGGTAGGAAAGTCCCTTACCTTCAAAGCTAAAAACTGCAACTTTTATGCTAGACGTTACTTAGTTTTGGTCTTATTAGTACCTAACCTCAAAACATAACTATTTGGATTAAACATTCCAAATAGTTATGTTTTGAGTTTGAATTATATTTTATTCAGCATGTGAAGTCCCTAGAATTTTCATGCAAATCTAAATATGCGGTTAACGAGTTGACTACTAATTGTTTTCAGTGCATGAAGTGTTTGAAACAGTAGCGGAGAAGTATGACGTGATGAACGATGCGATGTCGTTCGGCATCCATCGCATCTGGAAGGACATCTTCATGAACCGCCTCGCTCCCACACACGGCACCAAGCTCCTCGACATGGCGGGAGGCACTGGTAAGTTTTCAAAATAAAACCAACTTGGCCAATGAGGCATGAGGCTTTGTTTATATTTTTTAGGTCAATCTTGTGGGTATTTGATACAGAAATTTAAGCAAATATTTACATGGTGTTCACACGAAAATATTTGCTAATAAAGAGGGTAGTTATGAAAGTCCAGTATGAAGATATTGTGTGTGGTCATTAATGTGAACCAGTTTTAAATGCAAAAGTTTCTAAGTTTTAGATTTTTTTACATTAATAACCACCAAACTCAATGTGTACATTAATTTCTTTTGAAACTATCAAGATCGTCATTCTGTGTCCTTCCTAAAGTTGCTGTGCCCTAACTGGGTCCACATTGTATAACTGCCTAAATTGTAAGACCTTATGTGAATGCTAACTAATGTGGTTATGCAATAAACGATTGAGTATTGAGTATTAATTTACAGTGAGTGAGCACAAACTTTCTAAGTAGTATTGTTCTTGTTTCTAATATTGATTTTCATATTCCAGGTGATATCACATTCCGGTACATCAACTACTTGAAGAACCTGGGCCCCCCTCCTGCCGGCAAGGAGAGCAGCGTCACCGTTTGCGACATCAACCAAGCCATGCTGGATGTGGGCAAGCTCCGAGCACAGAGGTAAGAACACAGAACTGCAGATTTTTTTTTTAATTGAATCATTATGTGGAAGTCTTATGACGTTTTTGCGTAGGCACTGTTAGACGTGTTTGAATTTGTGGAGTTTTGTTCAATATTGTTAAACCTGTGTTACTTATGGCTTACGCGACACAAGCACAGATTAGTGCAGCAGCCTCTAGAAATACAGACTGTTTGTAAACCTTTTGTTGGCAAATAAAATTACTTCATTTTTCAAAGCAGCACACTGAAAAAACAACAATCTTTTAAACTGTGATCTCCAACCCTCCTGCCAAGCGTGGGGATTATGGCAAAACCCTCCACTTTAGTGGAGGAGGCTCTTAGTCCAGTAAAGGGCTGTTGATAATGATGACTTTTTTTTTAAATGTTTTATAGAACGGACTTTATTGAACACAGTGAGCACAATTTATAAATAACAACACAACACGATGCGACATCAAAATCAGTGGGTCACTGGTCCAATAGGCTACCGATGTGTAATGATGGTTGTCCAGACAGGGCTATACCAAGGAGTCATGCGGCGTGGAGGTTAGTTGGGCGTGCGGCGACGCGGAGAAGCTCGCGCTGCCCGACGACGCCTTCACGGCGTATACCATCGCATTTGGCATAAGGAACTGCACCCACATCGATAAGGTAAGCTAATAAGCGCGCTTGTTACTTCACGCTAAAGGACTTTGTTCACGCTAGTGACCCTAACAGCTGATAAGTATTTAGTGATAGCCCTACAATAATTTAAAGGCGATTATCACACTGCGCCGCGCTCCGCGTGATTTCATGTAAAAAACCCCGCGCGCTGACGCCAGGGCCGGATCGTGAATTTGTGGGGCTCTGGGCTGACACTACTTGGGGTCCTATTTTAGTACTCAACTAATAGCCATGCCAAAAAACTGTTTCTATAATGATATATTATTCTTATACATACAGTGTGAGTCACGATAAAGTGCACATATGAAAATAAATGAAACTAGACCTATTTTTATCGACAAAAAAGAGGTCGAAATTTTTTTGAGATTTAATTTTTTTTTCTGCCAATTACTTCTTGTAATGAAAACGTAATAACTTTTAAACTAAGCGGTATATCCTGATAAAATAAAAACAGTAATAATGCTAAATAACAGGCGATGCTAAAAATACATAAAATACCCAGAAAATGCCAACAAATATTAAAAAAATATACTTTTTGAAAAAAATCTGCTTTTAAATTCGTGTTTTTTTGGTTATTTGATAAAGGACATCATCGACGTTTCATATATTTTTGGTCCAAAATCAAACGTGTCGGCCAATAAAAAAAAAAGTGCTGTATCCTCACAGAATACGTCCGCCTTAGCATTTGTTACTATGGCATCAAAGCTGTAGCACCACTGTGTGTCGAGTATTTGAGATCTAAAAGTCATCGACAATTCATAATTTTTTTGTCCAAAATCAAAAGTGTCGGCCAATAAAAAAAAAAGTACTGTATTCAGACAGAATACGTCCGCCTTAGCATTTGTTACTATGACACAAAAGCTGTAGCACCACTGTGCGTCGTAGTATTTGAGATCAAAGTCATCCACGTTTCATATATTTTTGGTGCATAATCAAAAAGTGCTGGCCAAAAAAAAATGTGCTGTATTTTGAGAGAACACACACGGCAACTTCCCTCTCGGTACTAAAGAAATAGACCGACAGTGACCGACACACGCGTGTGGAGCGCGAGACCAGCGGTGAAGGGTTGAGGGGTGTGTGGTCGGTTTCCGGTTCAAGCCAAGTCAGTCGGCCACTAAACTCCTCGTCCTGTCATGTAACACTGTTGAATCCGAGACCATTAAGGTGTGTCGCCTGTTAGGGCACTGGCCACACGGCCTTCAAGTGCGCCGCTGGCATTAACCGCAGTGGACTCTGTTTCCGCTGCGGTGAAGAGGGCCATAAGGTCAAAGTGTGCTGCTGTGTGCTCCCAGATGCTCCTGTCGCCCTGGCGACAGGCCCTGGCGGGCTTGTAGGGCCGGGAGGCTTTGTCCGGAACCCCACAGTTTCCTACCACTTAAGGCGAGCCACGGAGTACCGGGGTCTTTTTAGTGGGTATGCCTCGTCCTTCTGACCCTGTCCCCGCAGGGTAGGTATGCGATGCAACGCATTTTTACCCGTAAAAAAGAGGTGTTATCGTGCGGTGTGGCGGTGTGCCTATTGTATGGCGGTAGGGTAAGGCTATTGGTTTAATTCCTAGAAGTGATAAGCCGCGTCTAGTTTTAACATTCCTTTTTATTGTTTGTAGGTACTCATGGTGCATTTTTTTGGGCATGCAGTGTATGTGAACGACAATAAGTACATCGTGTTAACCAAAACATATTAAAAACGCCATGTTTCGGCAAGATACTTCATTTGTTTTAGTAAATAGTTTAAGCGTAAATGTTAAAAAGACATACTTTTAGAACTCAAATACTACGATGCACAGTGGTGCTACAGCTTTGGTGCCATAGTAACAAATGCTAAGGCAGACGTATTCTGTCAGAATACAGCACTTTTTTTTATTGGCCGACACTTTTGATTTTGGACAAAAAATGTATGAATAAGCTAGTTGCCTAAAAAAATTTTTTTAGTCCGTAATGTTTAATATCAAAAAATATTGGACACGTATATTTTTATTTGTCAATCTAACAAATAATTACATAGTTATGGTGCGTTGAAGTTGCGCACGACGTCACAACGTGCGGTATTTTTAAGCAAGCGTTGACGTCACGGGCCTCTTCTTATGAACTTTGGGGCGCTTTATCTCTTTAAATTTTCATTAATTAAAACTCTTGCTTTTTGACCCAGGCAACATCCCCATTGTCGATGACTTTTAGATCTCAAATACTCGACGCACAGTGGTGCTACAGCTTTGGTGCCATAGTAACAAATGCTAAGGCGGACGTATTTTGTCAGGGTACAGCACTTTTTTTTATTGACCGACACTTTTGATTTCGAACAAAAAATGTAGTTATGAATCGTAGATGAATTTTAGATCTCAAAAACTCGACGCACACTGGTGCTACAGCTTTGGTGCCATAGTAACAAATGCTAAGGCGGACGTATTCTGTCTGAATACAGCTTTTTTTTTACTGGCCGACACTTTTGATTTTAAACAAAAAATGTATGAATCGTCGATGACTTTTAGATCTCAAATACTCGACGCACAGTGACAGCTTTGGTGCCATAGTAACAAATGCTAAGGCAGACGTATTCTGTCAGTATACAGCACTTTTTTTTGTTGGCCGGCATTTTTGATTTTGGACCAAAAATATATGAATGTTTTTAATCAATATTTTCTTATGACGTTGTCAACGTTGGAAACCGACATTACAGACAATTTTTTTTTCAAATTATGGCCTACTTTTTAGCGGGATCTGGGGGCCCCTTGTAACCCCGGGGCCCTGGGCTGCAGCCCAATCAGCCCATAGGTAGATCCGGCCCTGGCTGACGCGTTGTCAGTGAAGTGCCGCGCGTCTTTTCTATACAAACTGAGGTACTTGCATACAATGATTAAATCTGAAGTCCCGCGTACCGCGGCGGAGCGCGGCCCAACCGCCTTACACTCACCAGTGACAGTACTTTACTCGCTAGTGGCGCCAACTGGTGAGCCCAAACACGGTTGCCCTAAACCTAAAATTGGTTCCCATTGAAACTGCAAATTGAAGTCTATTTATTATTGTAAGTAGTCTTTTGTGTTGCTAAACACTTAAGCCGAGTTGCACCAACTTACTTTAACCGTAACTTAACAACAACCGGTGCTTTTTGTATGGAATTTGAACCGACTTTTGAAGTTTGTTAAAATTAAAGTAAGATTCTGCAGCTCAGCCTTAGATACCATCTTTCATGACAATATCGCTGGTGTCTCAGGTGTTGGAGGAAGCATATCGGGTACTAGCGCCGGGCGGGCGCTTCATGTGCCTGGAGTTCAGCCACATCCCCAATGACACGCTGCAGTGGTCAGTATAAACTTTTATAAGTCACTAAATACCTGTTTTAATCTAATTTAAACACTGGAAGGTCACTATAGTCTGATCGCCGAGCACGTAGAAATTCGTCCAATGACCCCAAGGTACCCATCCTTCTCGCTCGCGCGTAATTATATTGCTGTCGCGTCTGTGCGACGGGCGGGCGAGCGCGACAGCAACATAATTGCGTGCTCGAAGACCGGGCTTTAGTACAGTTCCATTCTCGTTTGAAGTGATATCTCGGACTCTTATATTCTTCAGATTGAAGACAGCTATCTCCCGTGACTTTTTCGATTCGACCTTCACTGGTTGTGTTTCAATGGAGGCCAAGCTTCAGCTGGCTATACAGGAGTTGCAGTGGTGGGAAAAGCCCCACGAAGGTGTTAGATGAAACTAGATAAGCGCCATTGACCACCGGGGTAGTAAACGCCACCTATCCTATTAGTGTCACCTACCACCCCGCTAGCTCGAAGGGGGCAGATGGGAATAGAACCGTATACAGTAGAATCTCGATTATCCGGACTCATTCTTCAAGGTTTCTAATTACCGATATAGGGTCTGGACCCATAAAAACGGAAGACTCCGTCACCGTAACACGGTATCGTCTTAGTTCATTGTTAAAAGAAATGGATTTATCCAATGGTCTTAAATTTAGATATTTAGAGTAAAATGATGTATTGAAAACCCTTTCTATTGAAAAAAGTTAATCATTGTTTGATTTTACTTTGAAATCGATTATCCGGATTTTCGGATCGGGTTTCTACTGTAAATAGATAGACACTAGACACCTACTTCTAAGGTCATAATAGTAATCCTATAAATGATGTTGCAGGGTATACGACCAGTACTCGTTCCAAGTGATCCCGGTGCTGGGGCAGCTGATCGCCGGCCAGTGGCGCCCCTACCAGTACCTCGTCGAGAGCATCCGCCAGTTCCCCAACCAGGTATCTATGGCTCTGACCCCTAAATTACTTTGACATCGTTGAAGTGACAAGTTGAATGAGGGTTTCTTTATTGCTCTCATTAGTGGCGCCTGGTGCCAACCTAGTGCTTCGCTCACACTCGCCAGTGGCGCCATCTGGTGAGCAGTGAATCGCTAGGTGGCGCCACAGTCGAGTAATAACCCCATACTTGACGACTGTGGCGCCACCAAGCGCTTCACTGATCACCAGTTGACGCCACTGCGAGTGATAACCTCACACTTGACTATGGCGCCACCTAGCGATTCACCGCTCACGCTGAACGGCCAACTGGTGAGCAGTGAAGCGTTAGATGGCTCCACAGTCGAGTGTGAGTCAGAGGTTATCACTCGCCAGTGGCGCCAACTGGTGAGCGGTGAAGCACTAGGTGGCGCCACAGTAGAGTGAGAGGTTATCACTCGCCAGTAGCGCCAACTGGTAAACGCAATAAACCCTCATTTATTAGGTCGACAAAGAATTTATTACTTTTCCGAATTTTTTTGGGAACATCATAATAGCGTAGTATCCTTTTTGCCCCACTGCTCAACTGGTTATATTCCCCACTGCCCAACTACAAACTTTCATGGAGAAGTTTCATGATGTTATAAAAATCTGTTGGATATTTCCCAGGAGAAGTTCAAAGGCATGATCGAGGACGCGGGCTTCCGGCAGGTCACGTACGAGAACCTCACCTTCGGCACCTGCGCCGTCCACTCGGGCTTCAAGATATAGCCCCCCTTGCTCTAGTCAACTTAGGTAGGAACGGCCTTGTAGGAAAATAGACTTAAGCCCGTTTTCACCATCAATCCCTAATTTCTAAGTGACCCTTATGGTAAACACAACAGGAATTGATGAGTGCTACTGACAACGCAACGCCACTCTTGTGGCGGAGTTTTGGGCTGACACTGTGTAGGTTTGTTGTCGACACGAAAAGAAGATAACAGGAATTTTGTTATCATAGGGGTCACTTAAAAATTGGGGATTGATGGTGAAAATGGGCATTAGAATGAGATGTCATCAGATGTCTTCGAATTAATAGTTTAAAAAAACATATATTTATTTAAAGATAAGGTAAGGCCTATTTTCCTACAAAATCGGTTTAGTTGTTACGGTTCACAATAAAACAAAAACTAATAGTTCAGTGTTTTTATTAAGTCCATCAAACTGTGTTGGTCTTTGGAATGCTGATCCAGTACCTAAATTACATTTCCACTCATTAAAACTATGATATGACGCCGCACTACGAGGCATCTTACAAATTCATTATTTTTACATTTGTGATTTACTTTGAGTCTAATTTATTGCGTTACGCATATATATTTTTAATCATTTTCTCTTTTATTGCATCCTGATAATGTTTACATTTACATTCACACTAATCGAAAATATCTATGTCAACAGTAAAAAGTATCCTTCGTCCGTCTCATTCACGCGTTTTCTCACAACGAATGAAAGCTCTTAAGCATGCTGGGCCCGTATTGATAAACCGTGAGAATGGCAATGTTCGGGCCAGTTTATGAACATGGGCCGACGTTAGGGCAACACTAATGAGCGAAGCATCGCCGAACCGAGCTGTCCTAAGGAAAGTAACGCAGACATCGAGAAGCAAATAAAGTGTGAGTAAAGGATTCAAACATTAATACTCTGACCGAGCGTGCACTCAAAATAAGTTATTTGCAATAATTTCAAAATCATACCAAAGATCCGTGATCCTGCGGTGCATCCGATCCGAATCCGTGTTCCGAATATCCAAAGTCAATCCAAAAAGTTAAGTCCGAAATGCGACCACTATCCGACCACTGCTGCGATCCTTCGGTACGATCCAGAAATTCCAGAATCCATCCTAATTAGCCGTCTCCTAGATCCTGACTCACACCTCCGCCAAGCACATCCGAGCCAATCCACAGTGGATGAAACAAAAGAAAATGCTTTTAATACACGGTCAATGCAGTGCCCGCGAAACTTGCGAGTACATTTCTCGACACAAGGGGGTAGTTGACTAACGGCTGTTTATATCGTCAGATTAAAATTACCCTCTCTTAAATACTTTAAAATATTATGACGTCTTACATAAAACATTCACTAATATAATAATATCAATAATTTAAATATTTAGTCCCCAAGTCCCACCATCGCTTCTTAATTTATTCTTTCTCACATTGATATTGCTTATTTATTATTTAGGTAAAAAATCAAGTACCCCATTGTGCTTTTATTGCTAAAGTTGACGATAGTCTTGAAATGTATTCGGAAATTTCGCTAATAAAATGGCGATATATTACACAATATGTTTCGTTCCGACACCGACAACATTAAAAACTACAAATTTGATAAAATTTAGCAAACGTACGACTACGACACGACGGCCACACGCCCGAGGGGACCACTGGAAACGTTGGGTCTTGCTTGAGAGAGCATTGAAGGTATAAACATTTGCATGTTATAATGAGATCACAATGATTGAATACAGTGCATCTTCTATGTTAGTTTTGCTTAAATAGGTGCTAGACATTTTATCCCCAGTAACAAATATTATTATAACAAACAAAATATCAATTTCCTAATACGAAATAACCGAGCGATGCCAGTGATCTCTCGTTTGCAATGTGTCCGAGAGGCAACATCGAAGTCGGAACGAAGTAGTTCTAAGTCTTAACGCTAGGCGGCGCTGCGGCGACGGCGGCGAGCCCCGGAGTACCGCTACACTGTCGATAAACATCACCTTCAGTTGGTCACACGTCAACAAATGCACGGAGCTTACGCTAACATTTAAAAACTTCATTTACACATATTTATTGCCAGTCGAGTCAAAATCTTGTTTATATTATAAACTAACAATAAACGTTATTGAAATCAAATTACAGAACATTCAATACAGGTAGAGGAAACAAAAGAATGCTCCAAAAAAATACAAAACCCGATCAAGTCAACTTCGTACTTAGCGGCCGTGACGTCACAACCACAAAATATAACAGAAGGCAAACTCCATACTAAGCGCGCTCGAGCCACGCACACATAGACACCGCTCACGTACGCGTTATCAAGACTGTCTTGGACGAATGCGAGGCGCGACTGCGTTCGCTTGAGTGACGCTGCTCACGCGTTCGTAAAATTATTTTGTTTATGCGAAAATTAGTGAACAACAAAAAAGGGGTATTATAACATTTGTTAAGTAGACGGTTGCTTTAACTCAACATTAAAAACTAAATTTTCGTTTTTGAAACTAACAGTTGATTCCGGGAGGTAAGTAAGGTATTTATTTGTATTTCAATAGTTCGTATAACGTTGACAAATTGAAAGCCAACTCAATTATTAGGAATATCGAATTGTTTTAGAGAGGTTTTAGGAATTATTGGATAATAGTGTCAACCACTCAACTAAATACTACTTCTTTCTCGTGTATTTGTTTGCAAACTATTACTATAATAACGTACTAAATATAACTGCATAAGTATACGTGGATATCTGTTATTGTCTCTCTTCCATAATATTAAGAGTAACATTTTTCTATCACAACGAAATAAACGCAACACATGACAAGACATCCCTAGCGCGACGGCCGAGCGTGCGAGCGAGAGAGGTATGCAAAGCGAGGTACATACATGAGTTTACCTTCTGTTATATTTTGTGTCACAACACTAGGGCGAGGGAGTCGCATTCCAGCGAGATGCGCAGTTAGCTCGATCGGGTTGTAGTGGTTTTTAAACAAACTGTACCATGGTCCAGAAAAGGAAAACAGCTATTACATTCCATCAATAATAGAGAAACTTGTTTGTGGTATGAAAAAACAACATTAAAATTATTGTTTGTGAAATTAGTATTTGTAATTCCAGCTTTTAGGACTTTGGAGCTGGCAAATTACCTGTTTTGTTTGCGAGTGAAAACATGATATGACAGACAAACAGAAAATGGTAAACAACATAAAATTTACAGAAATGTAATGAAATTGGATTCAAGAGTCAAACAGTAAATAAAATCAGTTGCTTACAAACTATAACATGTAATATTATTTTACTAACTATGATACATTATAGGTAGTTAAATATTATTATGATAAATCTTGTAAACGTAGTGTGTATGTAGAAACATTTTGAGAAATGAGCGTGTGTGTATGTGGAGTACCAACTTGGCTAACAGCTAGCTAATGGAATCGGTAAAAATGACAATATTAATGGACGCAGGCCGCTACCAACCGGGCAACATGGAAACCATTGGGGGAGGCTTATGTTCAGCTGAGTAGACACGATAGCAGAGATGATGATGATATTTTAAACGTGCAAACTGCGCGAAGCCATAAACATACCGGTGGGCTACCGATTCTAGGATGATAGTAATCAGTCATGAGCTATGATGGTGATCCGACCCCCTCGTGACATTCCTTGTAAGGCTTAGAATACGGTGAAACGCAACTGCAACTTCTAGTCACTTTTGAGTTGCATCTAAGTTTCTGTCATAGCGTCCGTTGCGAGACCACACGTCATGACGCGACCAGTTTGAAACTGGTCAAACTGGTCGCGTTATGTGTGGTCTCTCAACTCAAAAGTAAAGTAAAGCAACTCAAAAGTAACTAGAAGTTACAGTTTCGTTGCAGTTGCGTTTCACCGTGTGTTCTGGGCCTAAGAAAGCCCCGTGAAAAAAAACCCTAGATTCGCCAATGACCGTAATATAAGAAAAGCTTTGTGTGGAACCCCAAGTACAGTCACGGAATGAAAAGGTTCGTCAGTTTTCAAATTGATTCCTTCAACGAATCGCGAGCACTTATTACCTTTTGAAACTATGTTACAGAATAATCTCGAGTTAGAGAAAATAAGCTTTAACTGTTCGTCAGTAAAGTTCAAAATTATTCAGATAAAAGTTGTTTGACGATTTATCTTGATAAAGTAAAACCTTCTTGTTGGTTCAACCTGCCATTATTATTCCTATTAAATAAAAAAAACTATTGTCAATTGGTCATGTCATCATTGCATTGCACTGATGGGATAGAAAAATAAACAAGCAAAACCTTATTCGTTAGCAAACGTCATATTTATTTAAATGTTAGCAGCACTGTTTCTTGCACTGTTATGTTGGCAGGTTTGACTCTTACAGTACCTAGTGCAAGCGAAAACCGACACTAAGGTGACGAACCTTTTCATTCCGCGACTGTACATAGCAGAGTAAAATACAAATGAGTAGGTCATCTTCATAGAAACACACCGACAGTGGTTTGTATGTGAGCGCGCCAATACGTATGCGGCACGCACGCAAACACAGACAAAATTTAGCGGGGAGTTGCGCCGAATTTTGTCAGTGTGTGCGTGCGCGCCGCATACGTAGCAAACCGCGCTCGGTGCGTTTCTATGAAGATGACCTACTCATTTGTGTTTACTCTGTACATAGTCGCCCGTGTATGTTATTGTGGTTTCAGCTCGGAATGACAACTTCCCAAAATGACAACCGAGGCGCAAAATGTCCACTTCTCAAAATGTCAACTTCGTTAAAAGACAACTTCTCATGATGTCTATTTCTCACAATGACAAATTCGCATTTGGTCTACTTCGCATAATGTCAACTACTTGTTGATATTTTATTTTCATTATTTCTAGAGTTGTAGTTCTTCTAGAGTTGTCATTATGTGAAGTTGACCAAATGCGAATTTGTCATTGTGAGAAATAGACATTATAGTTCCAAAATACTGAACTGTCCTGTCCATGACATTGACAGTGGGGCGCCACCGTCAATACCGGATCGCTGGTTCCGATTTTTGCCATGTTGGAAACCATATAGTTGAACGATGGTAGCGCCCCCCTGTCATTGAGTTTGGTGGGACAGTTCAGCGTGGGTCATCTATATGAGAAGTTGTCTTTTAGCGAAGTTGACATTTCGAGAAGTGGACATTTTGCGCCCCGGTTGTCATTTTGAGAAGTGGTCATTCCGAGCTGAAACGGTTATTGGTTGTGTGGTGTGTGTGTGTCAGCGTACGTACCCGGCTAGTAGTTGTGGTCGCGGCTGCGCGAGCGCGAACGCGAGTAGCTTCGGCGCACGGGCGAGTAGGTCGGCGAGCCGCGCCGCCGGGGCGAGTACGAGCGCGACCTGCGAGTTGTGCACGTTGCAATACCGTCTTTACGTCGCATGCAATAGGGTGGTGTTTTAGTCCCTTTAGTCTCAAAATGTCCAATTTGCAAAATGTCATGTGGTGAATTCTGGTCGCCGAGCACGTATAATTTTGTCCAATGACCCCAAGCTATAAGGATAGGTAGCTTGGGGTCATTGGACACAATTCTAAGTGCTCGGCGATCAGACTATAGCAAAATGTCAGTTTCAAAATGTTCAAGTCTTAAAAGTTCAAAGTTTCTAATAAAGAGTTTTCATTTCATAATTTCTTAATAAACTTTGAACTTTTGAGAGTCGAACATTTCGCAACTTGAACATTTAGACATTTGGACGTTTTGAGACTTGGACGTTTTGCGAATTGGACATTTTGCTACCACTAGACATTTTGAAAATTGGACATTCTGAGACTAAACCATTCAGGCCAGTGGACCTGTATTATTACACACTGGACTGTCGTAATATTTCTGTGCCTATTTGAGTTTCGCCATTTTGGCGCTGTAGGCCATAACCGTAGGCAGATACGATTGTCCATGGAACTAAAATTCACTTCAAAATTAATTCTCGGGACATTTGTATGGAGACAGCCTGTCCAGTGTGTACTAATACAGGTCAGTGCTTCAGGCATACGATCGACATCAATGAAACTGACTCCCAAAAGAAATTATAGAACAATGGGCAATCTTTTCTAAAAAATGTGGCTGCAACGCAGTCGCCAGAACCGTCTGGTTCGGGATGCACCTGGCCTGGCCCTTCCATAACCCAAACATTATTTGGTATGGATGAGCATATTAATCATAAACGGTAATAACATACTTCAATAAAAACATCAAGCAACATAATAATGAAGCACAAATAAACAAAATAAATAAAAGATAATAAAAGTGTATCACCTATCCCTGTCTTTGGCTAACCTGTCGCCGCCGCCGCCGCCGTAGTCTTCCTTGACGCGAATGTAAGACACCTCGCCCTGCGGACAACAAGCAACGTCAAACAGGGCCGTCTTTAACCTGAGGCAATGAGCCCCGATTACGGTAATTTTTAACGTCTCCAATCCAGACGCGCTTCATCGATTCTGCGATACGATTGGTCAAAACAGCTGACGTACGCTGTTTTGATCATTACGATGACAAATCGTATCGCAGAATCGAGAAACGCGTCTGGATTGGAGACGTTAAAAATTACCGTAATCGGGGCTCTGGGCACATAAGGATCAAGGGGGGCCCTTGTCTACTAGAAAAAGATCTTTTATCAGACCGGGATCTCATCGCGGGACCCAGTCTGAAAAAGGGGCCTGACGATAAAAACACACAAATAAAATTGTTTATTTATGCAAGCAGGCTCCCAAAGAGCACTTTACACGTCCCAAGCCTACCACTGCTTCGGGACAGTAATAAGGGCCAGTACTGAGAAGAAGCGGCTCAAGAGAGTAGACACAAAGTTATTCTTTTTTTACTCACTGAAAAATCTGTATTTTTTGTCTAGCAACGTTAATAATATGTATGACCTAAGTGAGGTAACAAGACCACTAGCGTATATGGACACGTTGTGTGGGTGGATCATCGCTCTCCTAACTTTGATACGATTGGAGGTTATTTGGTACTGGTGGTATGAGAAGAGATGTAGTCACTTCAAGGCTAGCCTACTGTGAATTTTACTTCACTTTATGTGGAGGGCATTTTCTCCGTTACGACATGAAGAACGTATTGAGGACATGCTGACTCAACTTTAAAATGATAAGACTATTTTGTAGGTAAACCTTAGCCACTATCGTAGGCCAGCTGGTTTAACTGATTAATATACTGAAGGCATGCCCATTGTGGCTTATTTATAACATTAGACCAAAATAATTGTTTCAATAACATTATTAGTGCCAAGATATTTCTGAGCGACATAGGAATTTTAATCAGATGGTCTATTGTATCTAAATTCTTGGAAACAGCTTTCATCATATGTGCCACAAAATGGCTCAATGAAGCATAATAATTGTATTGGTCATCATCAAATAAACATGGACTACAATCGATAGTAAAATGGAGCACTACAAACGAATGCACAATCAATCGGAATGAGCAATTACCCCCAAGGTTGTTCAGTTGCTAACGGCCAAACAGCACGAATGACGCAGTGTTGGTTTAGTGAAACAATAAATACTTTTTTATGCCACATGATTTATAAGTTTGCCAATAAAAAATAAACTTTTTTAAAAACAAGCTTTTATTCTGAATTTCGAAAGTTTGTATCGCGCATGGAATTTATTCCTCTTTTTCTCTGTTTGCGCTACAAGCTTTCGAAATTCAGAATAAAAGCTTGTTTTAAAAAAAGTTTATTTTTATTATAATTTTATTTTACACTTTTTAGTTATATCTTAATCTCAGGACCCTGGACGTTATCTAACACTAAAGTGCTCGAAAAGACAAATCCAACGAACCCAAACTCGATGAGTTTCCGCCGTTTTGTTTAGGAGTTCCTATGGCCACCTCCCGACTCCATCATCAGACCAGCTCAATGGTACCATAATATTGCATTGTCATCGGACTTACACATGTATGCAAAATTTCAGCTCAATAGGAAACCGGGAAGTGGGTCAATTTTAAGTAGCAAGATTTGACGACAGACACCAGACATGTGAAAGTAATAAAAAGCTTGTAAAATATGGTTATTATTCATATTATTGTTTATTTAATTGACATGCCAGTATGTGAGATATTCAATAGTTATGTAGCTATGCTTGGCGATAAAGAATAACAGCTTTTTAATAATTTACTGTGTGCCATGCCAGCGTTGAACGTGCTTGTAATGCGCTTAGCCAAGGTCCTGCTACAAGTATGTATTGCAATACTTCGGCCATGTGGCATGGAATACAATGGGTAACCTTGAGGACAAAGTGCCTAAATGATCATAATTCCCCCATATTTGATTAGCAACACCAATCGAGCCATAACTCTAGCGTTTCTTAACCTTTTTTGTTCTACGGACTCTTAGGAATTCAAGCACAATTTTAAGGAGCCTCTTATTAAAAAAGCAGCAATATTTACGATTGTTAAATGGTCGATAGATAAGGCTGCGGACCTCCATTTCCATACATATGCTCGAAGACCCCCTGGCCCAATTCACGTATTTTGACAGTCAAGATCTCGCTGACGTTCAGAGAAGTCGTCCCATTGAAAAACAGTTCTAAATCCGTATTCACAAGGGTCATTTTGAGAGAACAATTACTCGATAGGATTATTGATACTCAGCGATTTATTGTCGTTGAAGTTTTGTTACGTGAATAAGGCTACAGGGGTCCGCGGACACAGGTTAAAAACACTGCGCTTGACCTGTAGCACATCATGTTGTTCATGAACTGAATCAATAACACAAATACAAATACCGCCTCTGTGGTCTAGTGGTAAGACCACCTGCTTCAGACGCAGAGGTCCCGGGTTCGATTCCCAGTGGGGGCAGATTTTTCTGTTCGGTTTGGTTAGTGGTAGCGCTTGTTCTAAGTCCGCCTGGCTAGCTACCACCATCTTACCTACCTAAGTCTGTCGCCATAACAACAATGTTAACAGCATTGTTGTGTTCCGGCAGTTAGAGGTAAGATAGCCAGTTCCTCCGTGGTTGAGGATTCCGGGTGAAGCTCGCTTCCGCCTTCGGCCTGATCATCACTTACCATCAGGTGAGAGGCCAAGAGCTTCCTCGTTGTGGATAAAAAAAAATTGCACGTAATCCAATGGCCTCACCTCATGGCTGCGGAAGCGCGAGTCGTCGAGCTTCTTGACCGCGTACTTCATGTCCTCGTGGCGCAGGAACTCCACGACGCCCGAGCCGTCCTTGAACGTGTCCGCGAAGCACACGTCGCCTGCCTCGCGCATGTGGTCCTTCAGGTCCTGCCACGAGCCTAAGGGGAAGGATTGAGGTTATGAAATGAAACAATTGCATTATTACATGAAATGGAACATACGCTCGGCATCAACTTCCCACCAACATTGGTACCATTTGAAAGCCTAGTTCTAAACTTCATTTCATTAAAGGAAAGGTTTTTACCCCAAAAATGTGTCTTTACAAGGATCCAGAGTCACTTCTTCAAAAAATAGGTAGTTACGCTATAGCCATTTTTTATGACTATAAAACTGATAAGTTGGGATTAAACGCTATCCATCTGTTAAAGAGGACACGTGAGATCTTTATTTGGTTTTATAACCATAAAAATTTGTCTAATTGATCCCAGAGGTGAGCCCAAAGTGAGGTCTATTTTCAAGTCACATTTATGGTATATGTTAATCATTTATTTAGAAATGAAATGTATTGTTCTTTAAGGATATTTATTGGGCTTTCAAATAACACCAATATTGTTGGGGTACCATGATTGTGTCAGAAGAAAATCTTTAAAGTTCGCGTCGCGGAAGGTGCGGTTTATTTGATGTTGAGTGTATTTCCTACTGTCTTCGAATAATCGTAACTGTCCTCTCCATATAGGGTTCCAGGTCGGAAAACAGAAAATCCGGACTCTGTGCTCTCTGTGCTTCATTTGGCCGGACATGTGACGGGGGGTGCAATTAGTGTCATAGCTCACAAATGAGTACTAAGTATCATCATCGGTTGTCCGTTGTGCGCTTCCTATTATTCTGTGATTCCATCGCTCGACTTTCGCATGGCGCGGCAGCCAAATAAAAAGCCTAACAAAAGCCGGACAGGCCGGACAAGACCGTAAAAAGCCGGACACCTGGCAACCCTATCTCCATAGGTTGTCTGGAAGATCGCTTCAAAGCGATAAGACCGCCTAGTTGTACCTTGTGTGTTTCTTTTTCTTTCTGTTCTGTTCTTTGGTGTGCAATAAAGAGTATTTAAAATTGTATTCTTGACAAGAAGGTCCCAACCACTATATTGCCTTGCCACGTTACCGTGGCAGGACAAATGGATTTACCGATCATATTGCCGAATGTGGTCATCGTAATCAACATAATAATTTCAGTCATAGGACGTCCACTGCTGAACACAGGCCTCCCCCAATGATAAATAAAGGGCGTGGCAAGGCAATGCCTACTCTTCCAGAGTCTAGAATCTAGACTTATAACGAAGCCTATGGCAAACAGTGACATTCTAAAGGCTAAAGAAAGTAAGTATAGACAGACTATAGCCTACCTGAAGGTGGCAAACCAGTAACCAGCACGCGGTACTCCGACCGCCTGGCAGGCGGGCCGCGGGTGCTGCCGCGGGCCCCGAAGCGCTCGCCGCCGCCGCGGGCGCCTCGACCGCCGCCGCCACCGCCACCGCCGCGCGGGAACTCCACGCGCAGCCGGTAGCCGTCGTAGTCGTAACCGTCTCGCGCGCGGACCGCGTCGTCTGCGTCTCTGAAAGAAGGAGGTGAATGTAACCAGGGTTCGAAAGGATAATTATCAGTTGATAATAACAAAAAAATGCGCTCGTGAAAATGAACTATAACGGCGTTAATCAACATAAATAGCTATAAAACCTATCTATTTAGCTCCACAATTATCACTAGTTGTCTAGCGTAAAATATTTATCTATTTTCCATTTTTCCATGCTTATGCGACTAGCAATGGATAATAACTTGACAACAATCAGCAACCAAAACATAAAGCAACATTCGCAATCAGAATTCCTTATGAAACAATTATGACAAATGTATCTTTACTGTTGATAATTATCATGAAGCGTAATTATCTTGATAATTTGGAACCCTGAATGTCACACTGGTGAGAGTCCGACCAATCATGAAGGTCTAGCTAAGATAGCTGTAGGAATTTGGTGGGACTGCACTGACATAGATGGTGTTCAATTAATTTATTAGCATCGATTATAGTACATGATAAGTTTTAATTCTACGCCACACAAAATGAAGATACATCACATACTGGCATGTAGGCCACAAGCAAACAGCAAGGTAAAATTTAAAACAAGAATTAGTAAACACATACAAATGCCAAGGAAATTGCAGATGGTGATGTCCAGCATTCCTAACTCATAGGGTTTTTAGTGGGTAGGCCCTGCTATTAAAATATTATGACATTATAACTCAGGTCAAGAAACAGAAAAAGCATCCATTAACTACAAATGCTAGTACCTAACCTATAAAAACTAACTGTCATAAATGTATTGAATTGACTTAACAAAATAAAAACAGTTTTATAGATTAGACAACAGAAATAATAAAAACAAGAAAAAATTAAATATCAAATAATACAAAATCATCTACTCTTGCTAATTACAATGACCTCTAATACCATGGCTAACAAATAATGTCTCATTGCACCTGCTGACATACACCACAAACAATAGCAATGGCCATATTTTCTGCATACAGTAGGTAATTAGCATTTTAAATAGTAGTAGGCGCACCAGTATTTTAATGACACTAAATGATATCTTAGTGAGGTTTTTATCTTTTTCATTCTTAATGTTTTAGATGAAATAAACAACTAACAAAGAGAATGGTATTTTTACATATTGATTAATAACAATGGTGCATTTTTAAGAGCATGTGTACGAACCACAAATATAAAACAGAAGTTAAGTTAATTAAAAATAGATTGCGCATAAATTATGGGTACTCAACTCATATTTGAAATGAAAACTAAGTTTGTATTGTAAAATATTTTATGATAATTTTGTTACCAACTCCATTCAAAAATACCATTATCGTTTATTTATTTGTTAGTGGAAAAGATGATAGTGGTATTTAGCTGTTATCACTACACTGGCACACAAGCATGCATTGAAAGAAACTTAAATTAATAATGATTAATATTGATCCAGATTCTACAAAATATGTAGGTAGGTAGAAAAAATAGCTTATTACCAGTTTCATCTACACAACGGCTACCAACAATGGTTTTTTTTAGCAAATATATCATCCTTTACCTTGGATCCTCAAACTCGACGAAAGCAAACGGTGGTCCTTTCCTATTTTTCAAGTCGACGAAAGTAACTTTTCCGAATTTGTAGAAGAGGTCTTGGATGTCCTTTGTCCTTATGTCTGGGGGCAGGTTACCGACGTATATTCTGCACTCATTTCTGTTAGATCCGCTGCCACCAGACATTTTATTTTGTTTTCTTCCACTAAACAATTAATTCAACTTCCTAATGATAAAATACACGTTTATTTTCTTTCGGCGTTTTCTTGCGTCCGTCCAAAAACTAATTCCTAAAAATGGCGGCTCTCCGGTTGACACTGTTAATGTTGCCAGCTTTAAAACTTATAATACCTACATTTAGTGAACAAAATCTTGTAATTTAACAAGTTAAACAAATAAACGCTTCTTATTATTATATTATCTTACAGAAAACAGTGTATTACCACCCCTGAGATGGGCGTTGTTTTACAAAACCACACCCTGTATACCATAAAAACATAAACAGTTCATCTTTTTACAATTTAATTACATTAAATTATCAATCCTGTTCTGTTCTTGTCAAATGCATGCAAGTAGTGTGTAATCATTCATAAAAAATATCCAGGCTCAGTTTCAGATACAATGTATTTCAGACGCAAGGTATTCATTAAATTAACGATAAATATTTTTATAATACAACTTGAAAAAATCGAACAGCCAAAGGCGGGACTCGAACCCATGACCTTCCGCTTGCCGGGCGACTGCTCTTCCAACTGAACTACTTCAGTTAAGTTCAGTTCGAGTCCCGCCTTAGACAGTTCGATTTTTTCCAGTTGTTTATTTAAAATTTAGTTTGAGAAGCGATTCTATTCGCTAAGAAATATTAATAACGATTTCATTTTTAAAATACAATATCAATTCTCCATCGTATATAATTTACCCCATGTTCAAGGAAGATTATTTCTACAACGGTAACCCATTGCAACGCGTACAGGAAGTGAGGAAGTTTTCTAGTCTATGACCGTTCGTCTGTGGAGTTTATAATGCAATGGTTATTTACTTTCAAAAAATTATTGATGGGAAACCATTTTTTTAATTTCAGCTAAATTAAACTTTTTAAACAAAGTTTGTAATAATTAATTGAATTTGAAAATAATTAAATATTTCTGGCTAGAAATAAAGACCCATTCATGACATAGAACGTCCGACTATTATTTTTTATTTGAATTTCGAACGCCCTCTAGCGCACGACGATCTCTTTTGTCTGAAAGAAGCCTGTGAAAGAATCCTCTAGAAAGTAGGCATAGAATCTCCGGTATCAAAATCTTTACGTGAAAATTTAATTCGTTTTCCCGAAGTTAAAGTGAGTATTTGCTGCATTATTTATTAGTTTTCAGTGTGTTTATTAATACGGAGTGTTATTTGGTAAGTTTTTTAATTTTTCTGATATTTCTAAAATGGAGTTGTAAAATCGAAGACTGTTTCAATGCGTTCAAGATGATGTTTTCGCAAAAATGTGCATCAGATTTCTATTATCGATTTAACTTTGTATTTCCATAGCAATAACCTAGAGCTGATATATTACTTTTATCTTTTTACGTCCAATTTTATGTCCGCGCCTCTCACTTGTGGTTTTGCTGTAATATTGATGACGGGTATTATTGCTAGTGCCTCTGTCCGAATTCGCACGAAAAAGTGTTCTCAAAGCGTTCAAGTAGTCAGGTAACCAGGATTAAATCTTGTCCAACATCTTTGCACATTTGGCTAATTGATTAAAGTGTTCCGTGTCCGGTGATTATTTTGCGCCCGTAGGATTCAAAAGGGCGCGCTCCATCGGGACTCCCGGGTTTTGCGTGTCTGACCTTTACTGGAGGTTATTTAAAGCCTGTATATAAACAATCGATCGGGTGCATGAGCTGGAAAATACGCAGAATGTTATCGGAAAAGCATTGACGCGTTGATAACCTTTTCTTATTGATTGGTTTCGTTGAAGCGTGCTTGTATCCCCTGAGTAATAAGTAATGGACTGAATGTTTCTATTTGCTGAGTGTGATAATTTAATATTGCTCAATGTCCTTGGTGCACTCAAGCTTGCCTATTAATGTTATATCATATCTGCATTGCCAGACTACTGACAATCTGGGTACTTGTTTATTTTTGCCTTACCTACGTAGAGATAAAATTCAAACATTCAAGTACGATGAAACACAAGTTTCGTTACCCAACGGTGAAGCTCTGATGTAAGATAAATAAATCAGTGATATGGTTTTCAGAGACGTGTTCTCTTTACAGAAACACAGCTGACAAAATGTGTGACCGCAAGGCGGTGATCAAAAATGCTGACATGAGCGAGGAGATGCAGCAGGACGCTGTAGACTGCGCCACACAAGCACTGGAAAAATTCAACATCGAAAAGGTTTGTTCAAATTCTTACCTTCATACTCGTTCATTGCTGGTGTTGTTTACGAAGAGTTCCCAAACTGACATTGGTTTATTTTATTAAATGTATTTCTCTTAGCCTTTGACATATTTTTGCAGTCATGATTTTGTTTAAAAAATCTTTAGTGGCAATTTAAAATATTTTTTTACAATTTAGTGACACTTGTAGACATTCAACATTATGAATTTCAAACTACACTACTTATCATGCGAGTGGACACTTCAATAAATTCAAATGGTTCCCACGGCTGATAATTGTTGTGGCTTCCTCCTTTGTGGTCACGAAACAGTTGTTAATTATTTATGATTTATTTTGACAATAGGTACCTAGGTACCTAAATATTTTGTAATTAGTAAAAGGAATATTATAAATTTAATTGCCTACTATGACACTGATTAGTCAGTTATTGGTGAAATTATTTTGTAGGAAAATTCGTGTTACTGTTTTATTAAATATATGAGTAAATCGTTCTTGCACTGCTTCAAGGGTTTGAGAATGGGTTACAGTTACAGAGTCCAATCCAATGAGGGCTATCGTTGTTATACTTAACAGTTGGCACCCCTGGCGATTGACAGGACCTTTCGTTCATGCAAATGCGATAGTCCTCCTACCACTTTAGCGCTCACAAGTTGGTGCCACTGTCTTCGCGACTAGCAAGTGACAGGAACTTACTCTACAGTGGCGCTAACTGGTGAGCGCTAAAACGATAGCCCTCATTAGAATAGGTCGGCTCATAACATGTCATAATCGTTGGACGTTCGTTGCAGGACATAGCCGCTTTCATCAAGAAAGAGTTCGACAAGAAGTACAACCCCACGTGGCACTGCATCGTGGGCCGCAACTTCGGCTCGTACGTGACGCACGAGACGCGCCACTTCATCTACTTCTACCTCGGGCAGGTTGCCATCCTGCTGTTCAAGAGCGGCTAGCCGCGCCCCGTCACGCTCCAAATTTTTCGTTAGCCCCGGCCCGGTCGGCCGCCCCGGGCCCGCGGGCCGCGCCCAGCCGCCCGGGCCGGCCGCGCCCGCGAGTGACATGTTTATTTCCAACGCCGGACACCCCGCACTCATGTATGTTTGTAATGTGTTAGCTATACTTAAGGTTCAATATTGACTTGGGTAAACTTTCACTTCTTAGTGTATTTATATTAAAATTAAATTTTAGTTAATTATTCCTAGACTTATACCTAGCATAGCGTAAAAGTCATATGTTAGTACCTAACTAAATTTATTGTTTAATTTTTCTTTGTTAATACATTCACTGGAGATATTTTCAATACTTCTATAATTATTAAACTTTCTTACAAACCATGCATGTGTTTTGTATTTGTTTGATCCTCTAACACACTAACTGCGCCCCAGGTCACGTTTTTATTTCATTGTTTACTCAACTGTACAAATTATTTCAACAGTACATTCATATCTACTTAACACATTATTCACTTCCCTTTTGTACCCTTTGCACCACCGGCCTGCACCACTGGTGGTGCAAAGGGTATTTTTAAATCCCTCTTGCACCACCAACAAATAGTGCTGTGCTACCATCGACTGTAAAACTAGTAGTAGACTGTAAAATACTTAATAATTTAATTGTTATAAATAAATCAAAACCTACCTAAAAGTTTTAATTTGTGTGTGTGTAAGTGCCTTTAAACATTTCACTTCAGACCCACGATACCCCGGGCCTACATCCTACATACAACGAATAAAGTACCAGGGCAACATAACCATAAAGGAGCTATTTTATTTATGATACATGTTTATTTCTCGGATCAACCAAGAAGAATTTGATATAGCTCCTTTATGATTATGTTGCCCTGGTACTTTAGGAATTATTCATTGTATGTAGATATGAATGGTTGTTATTAATTGTTGTGTTATGTTGTCAAATCTGTCCAGCAGTTTCGGAGCCTATTCAGTACAAACAAACAATCAAATCTTTCCTCTTAAAAGATTATAGATAATCGTTTTACAGATAATGGTAGGGCGGCACTATTGGTGGTGCAAAAGGGATTAAAAAATACCCTTTGCACCACCAGTGGTGCAGGCCGGTGGTGCAAAGGGTACAAAAGGTTCACTTCCTGGTACGAAAACACTTTACACTTGAGTTATTTCACTCTTATCTACCCTAGAACAAGCGGCCCTCCCTATGACAAGCGGCCCTCCCTATGACAAGCGGCCCCCCTAGGACTAGCGGCCCTCCCTATGACAAGCGGCCCTCCCTATGACAAGCGGCCCTCCCTATGACAAGCGGCCCCCCTAGGACTAGC